TATGTAAGTGAACCTATAAATGCTTTGATGGTGCACTGCTAGGTTAGGTCTGTTTATTCACTTACAGGCACAATGCAATAAAAAATCCACTTGTAGCACACTACTTGCAATCAATCAATACATAATATACATACATTATACATGAAAAGCAAATGGAGATGTATTAAACAGACCTGGGTTCCATATACATTGGCAGGAATTGATCACTGTATAATGGGCTGTTATGTAAGTCTCATGTCTTTAAGAAAAGAAATGACGCTATATCTGAGCTACTACAGCTAGTAAGGTTGTGTTCATAGTTAATCACCTACGTATATTCCTTTTTTTAATATTTACAGTCGCCCACACAAGAAAATGTCTTGTTATGTATAAAAATATCCAAACAATGGCAATAACGGGTGAATATTCATGAGGCATCTGTCAAGAAAAATAAATACATTTCTCAGCTTTGTTATACAGTATATCATTATCTAACAGGGAATACCACAAAGAGGAAATCCCCAATGAATGTTTCTATACCAACCAGCTCATATGACTTGTAACCACAATGAAAAAACATTATTGTATTGAAATGCTCCATACTAAATAGGATGTACTTAATGTCTGTATGTTATTGTTTGTTTGTGTACAGGGATTTATTTGCTTTTGAATTCCCATCTGATCATTAGCAGTGCAATAGTGGCCTGTCACAGGGGAAATACTTTTTTCCAGTTCAAATACGTTGACACGCTCTGTTGTGGTAGCAGAGCTCCTGTCTTTGTTTGCTTAATTAATACTTTGTTGTGGGCTGTTACAACTAATTGTTATTGCAATTAGAGTGTTGGTTGGAAATGCTATAGCGACGGAGGCCCTCAGCGAGAGACAATTAACACCACAGTGCGTTCGTAATTCATTAGAGAAGAACACACTCGTCTGGGAAAGTGACTTAAGACCTTCAAATCAAATGCAGAAGTAGAGCCTTTTGGCCAAAGTTATGGTAAAGATGGTGGAAGGAAGCAGAAGTAGTTGTGCTCGTGAGATAAAAAAACAAACCGAAAATACATTTTAAGCCTCTGCGAGAGAAAATGCTGCAACACTTCTAAAAAGACAGCATTTTGGTGATATTCGTGATGTGGCAGTCAAAATTCAAATCAGGATTAAAAAAGGCACTCCGAGATTGCTCGCTTGGGGGGCTTGAGATTTAGAGGGATTTAAGGTTGGTGCACCGCTTCTTCCTCTGGGCCAAACTGCTCAACACACGATGGACGTGAAGCAACTTGTTTAAGCCCTTAAAGTTGCTGTAAGTGATCTTTTTTTTGTTAAAATAAGTGTTAAATAGCTATGCAATCAGTGACCACCATCACTGATATAAAGGCCTCTGCATACTGGGGGGGCATCAATCTATTTTTGTTCTTTTTGTCAGGAGTACTTTCCGACAGAATGTGAATATTACTCGACAAAATTGTTTTGATGCAACATATTTACAGGTTAGTATTTTGTATTTTTGTGTCATTTATTCGTCATGTCCCCGGTGTGTACAGCCTTTAAGTGTGTTTAGTCAGTATCAGTCCACCGGTCCCTCCTTTCTGCAGTAAACGGAGAATAAATGTTCCGGTATTAATCCAATCAGGAGAGAAAATTCCACAAAGAGGCAGTTCTCAAGGGCAGGCAGCAAAATTTCAATTTGGGGAGGAAGGAGGAGACTGCAAAGACAAGACAAGAAGTAAGCCAAAATGCGGATATCCCTGACAGCACAACACAGGTCTCTCCCACATTTCAAAGCTATCTCATGGCACCTTCCTAATTTTGTTGTGTCTCCCTGGGTAATTTGAATGTCCCTCAGACATTATTACGAACAGTCTTCATACATAAAGTTGGACATCACCCAAGTTTCCAGATCATCTATGAAACACAGTCTACACACATCGGTTCAATCCATCTGTAACCCCCATCTGTCACCTCTACCTGGCAACCCACAATTCAAGGGGGTGTCCACCTAATATAAAAAACCTTATTTGATCATGATGTTACTCGACAGTTCTGCAGTTTATCAGTGAAGTGTTGGAACTACACTGCAGACTGGGGTCTCTGTTAACAGTAATACTACTCCTAATAATAATAATAATAATAACAATAATACATATTCCCCGAGCTTTGGGCAGCAAAAAATAACACAAGAACTTAGCAAAAGCAGTTGGATTTGATTCTAGTTGTGATATAATGTATTAGTGGGCTCCTGCCCTCAGTGCAGGAACTCTGTCCTCCCTAATCTGCAATCAAGTAGAACGCACACAGAAGACTATACATTCTGGAAATTCTTTATTAGGAGTATCGATCGGTAAATCAATCGCAGATACAGACAAAATACTGCACGTGTTAATGTGTAAAAACACACTGGAGAGCTCAGCACTTATGAACAACCAAGTGGACTACAGAAAAGACAACCTGGTAGTAGATGACAAAAGAAGAGTAAGAAACGCAAAGAAACCTCCTTTACAACTGTCCCACTCGTGTAAAGTCGAGCGTGTAGGTGGAGACGTGTCAAAGGCAGTTTTTCCACAAGCCCAACATAACCGGCTTTAATCGCACCGTGAATACATGCGTTTTCTAAAGCGGCCTCACAGCAGGGGAGAGCCATTCACTTATACTGTACAGACTCAAACACCCGAGACACAACAGGACGCCAATTTAACCAAGAAAAATAAGCCTTTGCCCCCCACCAGTACCCAAAAGGCCTCCAGCGGTTTGACATGGGCAAGTTGAGGAAGGTTCAGTCCTCTGATACACTGGAGCGACAAACTGGTAAAAAAAAAAAAAAACGGAAGCACATTGTTGTTTTCTGCTCCCTTCACTACGCTGATCGTCCTGCATGTAATAATAGTGATTATGTTTGTTTGTTAAGATTAGCTATAGTGTGACTATATCAAGGGGGAGGGGGGGGTTCTGCAAAAACAAGTATAATTTCCATATTAAAATCCTTAAAAAGGCATTAAAAAATCCAGAATCTATGAATATGCTAACTGTGTTGATTTCTAAAGTTTTCCTGCTGGACACAAGATGTCTCCTACTTCACTGTGAAGTCCACTCTCAGTGTGTGTGCACTGGTGGCTTCAGGTTTCTCCTTCACACTTGTATAAGTTGCATACTGGACCAGGATTGACGACAATGAATGAATGATGGACAGTGAAGATCAAACATCCACCTGTAGGAACGAGAAGATAAACTGATTTTTGAGCGAAAGGGGACTTTAAGATATTAAATATGGTGACTTTATTAACTATTATTTCATTTTTAACATCAAAACAAGGACTTCGACAAGTACAAGGACAACATCTGGACCTTGATCTCGATTATATTTTATATTATTCTTTTTATTACTATTAGGAGTAATAGTAGTTGTAAATCATTTACTGTGTAGTCATATTTATCACTATATTCTTACTTCTTACTTACAGTATGTTCGATATTTTATTGTATTCTACATTATATACTCTATCACATTATCTTTTTAAGGTCCGTATTTCATATTATTGTATTATTTTATAGCGTTTGTGTATATTACATATTGCATTATCATGTAAATATAACACTATATGCTTTCATATAGATATTTGTTTGCATATTTTTGCCTAATCTAATTGTATCATCCTATTCTATTACATTTTGGAGTGGGTTTAAGAAAAGGGTACAAAAATCAAACAAATTAAAGTCAGCACACAGAGAACAGCATTTCCCATGATGCCCGGCTCCACTGCAGACCCGCCCCCTTCGTTTGAATGGCAAGTTGTTTGTTTCAGTCCGACCAGCTGCTAACTATTCCAGTCGGAGAGCAAACATGGGGAACAGCGGTCCTCTGCTCTCCCATTTAACAGGTCTGACAAGCTGCCGGGCGCTGCTCACACAAACACTTCCGCTGTGTCTTCAGAATAAAAGCACCTGGACTGAAACTATTAGAAAATGCCATTCAAATTCAGTGTCTGTTTGAACATTGTGCTAGGATTTTAGAAATACTGAGGTCATGAGTCCTGGTCTTTCATTTTATTTATTTATTTTCTTCTTTTTTCATGTTTTATTGTGTTTTATCTAAGTTTTATTTAATTTGAGCATCTCTTTTGATGAAGTGTATAAACTCTGTAACAGCTAAAGTCAACTAAACTCATACTTCAGAAGGATTATAATATAACGAAATTATAAGGACATTACTCAAGAATGTGATTCATATTATAATTTCAAACTAAATAAATAAACAAGCCAGGAGATATGGCTATATTTAAATTACCTGGACAGAAAACAGAGTTGGAACTTAACTTGGAGGTTAAAAATGTTATTTATTGTACATCGGACATAATATTTATTCATCCAAATGGTGGTCATTTAGCAAAGAATATAGAATATTATATATATATATATATTATATATATAATTATATGGAGGTTTGTGCCACTTGGCTCTGAGCAGTTGCTAGGCAACCAGTGGTGCAATGATAGAAAAGAGGTCCCTTAGGACAGTGATTCCCAACCTAGGGGTCGGGACCCCCACTAGGGGTCGCCAAAGCTTCACAGGGGGTCGTGAGACCTTCTTGATTTTTTAAAGGGTGTAAGAAAACCTAAAACGTTTGAAGATCTAAACTTCGAAGACCTGAACACAAGCTGGTGCTTTCACTCCCCAACAAACAGCCTCATCCTGCATTAATAGAGCACACAGTTAAAGCCAATAGAATAAGTGTCAAGAAAACACTGAATGTGAAGAAAGATTTGAAAAGAAGTGAAGCCTATGAAGTCTGTATTATTGTTAAATCTTTTTAAAATACATAAAACAGAGAATTGTATAAAATGTCCCTAAAAATATCAATAAAACTCACAATATTCACAGGAAATCACCTGCATTGCATGTACTATGAAATATCCATAACATATGCCACTCAGTCAGTCGTCAGTTTAGTCAATGTCAGAAAAGAGGTTGGGAAGCACTGGCTTAATGTGCTGTAGAGTTTTATTTTGAAAACCTCCGACCAGAAGTGTGAGCGGTTCCGTTGCAGATTTGACAGCAGGTCCGTTTTTTTTTTTTGTACCTCTTTGCTTTCTTTATTCCACCCTGCCTCGCTGTTTCTTTCTCTATTTAAACGCCCCGAAGCCTGCCGTATGTGTGTATTTATTTATTTATGCATCTTACTTGAAAGTATTTAGGCTTTTGTTTTTTGTTTGTTTTTTTGTTTTTTACATTTTAGTCGCTCCTCAAATGAGAAGACGTAAAAGATGGAGCTTCATATTTTAGAGCACAGCTTGAAAGTGGCGAGTATAGAGAAAGAGGGGATCCAGATTTGCACCCACGGATTAATAAAACTCGCTTTCCTGGCCTCCAAAACAAGGTAGGTAACTTCCCAGAGCCCGACAGCTACATGAAAGACACACTGTGGCATTTGTGTTTCTGCCCCATGCTCCACAGTGCTCTACGTGTTTACTGTAAGGGTCCTGCTGTTAACACTGTAGCAAACTAATGCTGTGTGTGTGTGTGTGTGTGTGTGTGTGTGTGTGTGTGTGGGGGGGGGAGAAAGCTGCATGTACTTGTGTGTTAAAAGCGTGTTCATTTGTGCTCCAGCTAGTTGTTGCAGTTGCACTAATGCTGGGTAATGCAGCTTTGTGTGTGTGTGTGTGTGTGTGTGTGTGTGTGTGTGTGTGTGTGTGTGTGTGAGTGAGAGAGAGAGAGAGAGAGAGAGAGAGCAGCCCGGACTGTGTGTTTTGGTCTCTGCCACCAGTTTCTAGGCCTATCCTTGTTTCTGTAGTGTCATTTTGTAGCTTTGTGCCATCTGTAGCTGGGTCGACGCCAGTGTGTGTGTGTGTGTGTGTGTGTGTGTGTGTGTGTGTGTGTGTGTGTGTGTGTGTGTCTCTATTTTCCTTCTCTCAGGGAAAAATTATAACATGTTTCCAAGCACAAGTCCTGTGAAGTGGACATTCAGCCTGGGGAGGAAACTTTAATGAAAACAGCTCTGGCAGTCACATCCCAGCAGGCCCTTTTTTTTTTTTTTTTTTTTTTTTTACACTTGTCATTGCTCTGTTGTGCAGTTTTTATTACCACCACAGTCTATTAATATTAGCCTAAGCAAATTAGTTCACGTCACTGGCACACTGGCTGTTTTTTTGTTACCAAAGTCAGCAGTGCAAGTGTGGCAGTGAGCTGATACTCCCCCCCCCCCCCTCTCTCTCCTGTGCTGAGAAGATTACTAATAAAAATGACCCACTGGATTTCACCTAAATAGGCCTGCAACTAACTAATGTTTTGCATTATCAGTTTTTATTAATCGTCTGATCAATAAAATGACTCTAGACTTCAAGGCGACGTCTTGTTTTGTCCCTCCAGGAGTCCAAACCCTGAATATATTCATGTTCTAATGATACACAACAGGAAAAAAAGCAGCAAATCCTCATATCAGATAAGTTTGAACCTGAGAATGTATACAGGAAAAACTGACAAGAACCATTAATTGATTCATTTTCTGTCGATCGACTAATCGGTTAATTGTTTCAGTTCCAAACTCAAAACAGAATCCAATCACATTTAGTTCTCCTTGGTTGCGTAATCCTCCTGTGTTTGATCATATAGACAGTTTGAGTAATGCGGTTGTACAGAATAATGTTAATCAGTGTGATCTTTTCTACGTGCACACCTTGCAACCGGAGTCATCTCTTCATTCTTGTCGAACGACATCATCTCTCCAAAGTAGCTTTTAGCGATTCTTGTAGTCAAAGCTTGCTGCAGTGTAATAATTACACATATATTCTGTGATTTCCCAGCTTTTTCCACCACCTTTTTCTCTTTTTTTCCAAGTGAGAACCTGTTAGTTTTAGCCACAGCTGCTATTTGAAGTCCATTCAGGGAAGCTGCAGAGCTACGCGTCGGCCTATAACATCAGTTTGCATAATCTGCTCTCGACTTCAAACGATAAGCTGAATTTCTACTTTAGATGATGCTTTTTGTGAGGCACACATTGCCCTCATCAGTGCGTGTTGCAGGGTTACCCACCAGAAACCAGTTCAGCAGAGGTGGTAATGCTGCGTTCATGTGATATCGGAGTTGTCGTAATTATCAGTTTCAGGCTTGTAAATTGGGTTCGTTTCAACGTCCAGCTCATAAATACGACTGGGAAACTTCACTGAAAGCTCAGATAAATTCAACTTGGTGTTAAGTAACACAGAGATGCCCAAAAACCAAACAAACGTGGATGCCTCACGTCAGCAGAAAGTCGATCGTTCGAGGTAACTAAAACCAAACCTAATGCTATATTGTCTGTTGTCATTATTTTAACCCTCAGCTGTCTGCTGTTGTGTGGTGGCATTAATGCTGAAACCTGTGAATCTGTCTGCATGACTGAACCTGAGAGATTAGAGCTGGGCGATGTAGCTGAAAGAGTTATCACGATAAAATGTTTAATGTCAGTCGATATCAGTCATTATTGCTCTTTAATGAAAAAAGTGTGAATTAAGCCACTTTATTTGTAATGTAACTGCTTTATTTATCAAGGTACACAGGTAGTCATTTAAATGTTAATGATTTGTCGTTAGGGCTGCACAAGATAATCACAATAGGGTGTTTTTACCACATCGTGCAGCCCTGTTTGTCAGGCAGTATTGTGGACTGGCTGTGGAATATTTCTTGAGATGTAACAGATGTAGGTTGTGACTGACGACCTTCTGCGTACCCCAAAGGGTGAAAGCAGCTATGGTGATTCACTGCTAGCACCCTCCATTATTGACGGATAGGATTTATGTTTATGAGCTATTTAAGTGAGACTATCAATGTGTATGTTGAGTGATTTTCTTACTGCTGTCGATGTAGTATGCTGATACATATTGCTGGTGTTTTATTGGCCAGGCCTATGAGAGAGTCTCGTTCCATAATTAATGGAGTAGATGACGGCCTTATCAATAGCCACCCTCAGTAAATAATATATATGGCATTCACTATGTAAAAAAACACACCTCTACTCCTTTCCCCCTGAAGATAAATTCATAATGTGTTCATTTTTTATGTTATCAGTGGCTGACTGCCTTCAACATAAAAAACTGTGGACTTCATAGCACTACAAGTGGACCACATGTTTAATAACATAATGCAATAGAGAGTATAGCTTGACTAATAGCTGTAACTGTATATCAGCTGATGTTCCTGGCGAGGATCATATAAGGTCAATTAAATGTGTTTTCAAAAGAATGATGAGATACGTGCTGAGCGAGACATAACGGATGGATTTCTAAATCATTTCTTCACTGTTATTTCTGATTACTTATATTACATATATACTGATAATGAGAATATAGGCTGATTTATTTTCCTGTTTTCCAGTAATCTGATATTTGTTTCCGCCACATTTTTAGTGTCTGAAATTGGAGATGCAGAACATAACTGTGTCGATTTCAATGAGGAAGTGGACACACATGATACGTGTTGTTTTGCCTTTCAGCCAACTTGTTTGTCCCTCCGTGTTACTGCAGCGTTGATACGGTCACTCACACAGGCAAGCTATAACAGGCTCCTTTTCACAGAACTCAGATATGAACTGTGAATACTTTGATTAAAAAAAATGCAATGATAAAGGTGAGGAAATCTATAGTTCATCAGACTTTGAAAGATAACAGTTGATTTTGAAGTTCTTACTTTTCTCTAATCACTGACCAGCTTTCTTTCACAGGATATATCTAATTTTCCTCCACCTTAAATAACACATTCAAACTATTTAAACTGCATCCACTCCTACAGCATGCATGTTAACAGTCATTTCTGAATGTGGTTGTTTACAAGTAAAGCAGCACTTGTAAACAATTGACTTTTAGTTCCTGTAACTTTAGCTTTCTGCTTGGACTTTTTTCTTTGTTGTAATTTCCCCCCTGTGGTGTTCAGGTCAGTTGAGCGCCGTGAATATGAGCATCGGTTCAGGCTGCAGTTTGCTCTCACTTCATTTTTGTTATCACAAGTAGGAAATGTCTGAGGAAATTCTAAGGAAAGACAGTGACAGTAAAGTGAGACAAACAAAAGTTTCCTTATCTTCGGTTGAATTTAGTCAAACCCCGAAGGGCTCCAACCTTCCCAGGGTTAGCTGGACACAAGATTTAGTGTTGTTGGGGCAAATTCTTAAGTGGTGCCACTTGTTTGAGGTTGAACGTTTGGGTGGTCATGGCAGCCAGCCATTAATGATTACAGAGGTTTATATTCTGTGACTGCAGAACAAGAGTGTCCCTTAGATGACACTGGTTTTTGCAACTAGTTTCTTTTACTGGCTTTTTCCTTTCCCTGCAGTCTATGGTCCTCTGCCTTACGTTGCTGAAGCAACAACCTTGGCACATCATGGATGCCTCCTCTCATTGATAAGCCCCTTCAACAGCATGCTTTTGTCCCTATCATAGTGCTGTATTGTGCCTCCTCTCTTCACTACTTAGGTGTTGATTTACCTGTCGTCTCTTTTTGCATGCATTCACAACAGTGCTCACTTTATTTATTTTAAGAAAACACACAAGATAAAGGAAGTCGATAAAAATCTCATGACTCGGTCAGAGCTGAAGGACTAGGAATACCGGCTGGTTATCGTTTAAAATATTGAGTTTCTTTATCAATATGATACCAATACGCTGGCACCATTGCAATACTTGTTCAGTGCCTTAGTTAAAGGTGGGGTGAGTGACTCTAGGTAATACAATTCTAAATTGGAAACAAAGAAAGTGGATTGGACCGAGCCGCACAACACTTAACTTGTTATTCCAGCCATTCCAGTCGGGGTTTGTGTGTCAGGTAACGTCAAATGAGTTGCCCACAGACATTCAGCTTCCTCTCTTAGTCATGATATGTTGTTTTTGTGATGTTAGCTATAGTAGCAGGAGAGTTGTATCGCCGTCTGGAGCTGGTGTGCTTGTTTTATTATATATATTATATTATATTGGATCCGTCACCACTCTGAGCCTTTTAGCCTTGTTTAGCTCATTGTTTTGGTTTTCCAGCCCAACACTCTTATCAACTTTGTTTCCAGCAGCAGGAGCTGTTTTTGGCAGAAATCCTCTCATAAACTCACGGCACACTACCTGCAGACGGACAAGTTACCGACTTGCCAGATATTTTTGTCAAAAGTTGGCAGAGATGAAAATTCAGGCCCGATACTGATGTTTAAAATAACAATTTGGCCGCCAGCCGATACCAATGTTTGTTCTGTTGTCATTTATTCCCCTTTTGTGCCAGAGAAACAAACAAAGCTACAAAGATAAGCATCTCTGCCTTGTTGCAGCTCAGTCTATTTCTCTTTTCATCCAAGATATGAGACGCAGAGCCAAACTGCCACTCACTGCCGCTGCGTGGAGGACATTCGTATACACGTGCAATTTGTGCTGGAAAATGGAGGTGATTATTTCTGATTATATCTTAGTTGGAAATAACCAACAAAACATTTAGCCAGCTCCAAAGTGATTCGACACAACAGATAAATATTGGCTGCTGACATCTATGAATGGCGTCTTATTTGCCGATAGGCCGATGTCCGTCAACAATATCAGCCAATATCGATGTTCGGCTGGTAAATCGGTGTATTCCTCAAGAGGATAATATAAAAGAGATTGACTATAAGGCCTGTACTCATCAGGAGGCCTAATACACGACTCCACATGAACACTAAAGTTCTGGTCCCATTTAGAGTAAAATTTACCATAAAGCAGGGTATGCTTTATTGCGTGTCTACTTTGTCATTGACAGGTTCATTCTCAACGCACAAAACTTAGATCAAACTGTCAAACTTGGCAGTGCTGATCAAATATAAATCAAGATTCTGTTACTGCATTGAGACAAATCAAAAGTACGCTGAACTCACAGTACTTCACCTCCGCTGGCTCCGACAAAGACGAAAGGCAAAACGGTACTCCACAAACCAATGGATGATGTCATGTCAGGTTTACACTTGGTAAATAGGCAACTGATAACCACAGAAATCTATTAATGCCGCTTTAGATGAAGCAGAATCTAGCATCTTTTTGATACTTATTGATGTAAAATCCCCAGCCCTGAATATAAACGGTGGATATATTGAACTAGCCTCTTCATGACAACACATTATGAGATATATTCAACTCGTGAACTTAAATAAACAACTCTCAAAAGAAATGAATTGGTGCACATTTGTTGTGTTTTATTTGTGTTGTATGAGGGATGAGGTTGTGTGTTTGCGGGCCTTCTCTGTATGAACTTATTTAAAGACTCGCAGTGAAGTTCCTTGCTTACACACAGAATGTGAGTAATGCAGCCTAAGTGCTGTCCCCCTCAGCGACTGAATCTCCGCAGTGATTTGCTGTTTCACTGTTGATCTGGATGGAACACTGTCATATAATAAAGCAAGTCATTAAGTAGTGCTCATAATGACATGATCGTGATTAGAGGAGTATTATTAAACCAGGCAGGCACAAGACAAAAACTCCTGTGCTCATCATCCTAATGTCCTGGCTCTAACACACTGCGAGTCAAAGTGACACTTGACAGCTCATTTAATTCCAAGAGGAAACGCCGCCGTTCCCATAGAAAGCATTGTCGAGTCTTTTCTGTTATTCCCCTGTTGTTTTTCACACCTTTCAGACAAATATGACGTGCGAGCATTCAGTAGCTGTCCTGTAAAGATATGATTATCACAGTGGTGTTGTGCATGCTGTTTTTCCAGTTCTGTCCTTTGTGCTGGAGTATGATTTATCTCATTATAACCGGCATCCTTCACCCTTTTAGAACATTTTTTGGTGTTAAATCCTGACAGTTGGATTTCAGACAGCATAAATTATTTCAGAACAAGGGTGGTTTTGACAAAAGAGCTGCTAAAGGGCTGCTAATCACGATTATTTTGATCAATGTTGAGATCAGTTATTTCACAATAACAGAGCACTAGCATTTCAAACTGATCCGCTGTCGAATAATGTCTTTGTTTTGTGCACACGATAGCAGCCAGCGTCGAGCTAACTGACAACACTCTCTTCCCTTCCTGTGACGAGCTGACTTCAAAATAAAAGTCAACTTGTGTTTCCTCCAGTTACATGCTTTTAATGTGAAGCTGCAGCAGGTTTTCGTTAGCAGTAACTTAATACAGCATTTTTTCCAGGAATGAAAGTATCCAGGCTGTAACTGCATAGTGTGCATGCAGCAACATGACAGCTCCCCAGAAGTAAAACAGTAACATCTCAATCACCCGTAGTGACTTGGCTCTTACTGTAGGAAGGACTTGATTTGATATGAAGCAGAGTATTCTATGAGCCAAGCACGCATTTTAAACATCAACATCGTAGACCACCATGTTCATGTAATTGTGAGAAGCCAAAATCATGATCGCGATTAATATTTGATTATTTGTGCAGCCCTAACTGACTGACATTCATAGCTCCATGAAACTACATGGCTAAAAAGATTTTGCTGCATTTATTGTTATCGAGGTAAAATACATCATTAATCTTGACATATGTGATATTTTTAGGTCGTATCTCTTTGTTTGCATATTTAAAAACATCTCTCAATCACTGAGATTCCTCTCACAGCGTTTGGGGAGGTTTATATTGGGAGCAGAGCAGCGCTGTGCTTTACTGATGGTTCAGTTATGAGCCTCATATTCAATATACAATGATAAAGTAGACATTTACAGGCAAAGTTGCGGTCTTGTGTTGGTCCCTGCACATCTCATTGATGCATCTTTTCATATGAAACTGTCTCCTTAATTCTCCAAACAGACTATCTGATGTGTATGTTATGAATGCTTGAGGGAGCAGCAGAGCTAGAGGAGACAGTTATTGTCAGACAGGTTTGAGAAATGACGTCCATATCCAACACAGAGCTTTTCTCCAACTTTTTACATACAGTATCCACTTTGATCTGTCCTCTCTTTCTCTATCTCTCCTATTCAGATGCAAGTTTTTCAGTTTGACAGAGACTCCGGAGGACTACACCATAATCGTCGATGAGGAAGGCTTTAAAGGTGGGCCTCTCTTTGTGGATCTTTAAAGTCACTGTGGCAACCATAGATCCGGCAGGAAAAGATCACATTGTGTAATCTCTGATTCTCTTCAGCTGTCAGTGTTTGAGCACACTTTGTCATTATGGATGTGAGGCCAAGCTGAATCCATGTCATTACACACCCTTTTCCAGGGTGACCCTCCTTAGTTACCCTGGAGACTACAGGCTGTGTGTTGCATAACTGGTGCAGGTATTTTCTACTGGTGACTGGTGCTGGGTGTGTTGGTGCCTGTTTTCTGGTGAACTCAGCAATGAAACTCAAGCCTGCAATGTTGGATCCATTCTTGAAAATTGCCAGAAGAGACTAAAGACATTTTTCGGACCTTTCAATATGGACAGAGTAGGTTCATATGCATCATTATAAGGGGCGATTAGGCCTAAACACTGAAGTGAATATCACAATGTCTCAGAATTATTATAAAATCCAGTACATTGGCAGTAACTTATTAAGGCGAACATGCTTTAAATGTTAGTGTTAGGTTAATATACTGCTTAACCTGCTTTATATTAGACGTTCTTGATTAACTGAACTAGATTGAAGTTGAGTTTGGCTAATAATTCAGACGAGATCTTGTGAGATTAAAGACTTTTTGTGCACTTACTGCGATGCTGTCAGATGTTACCGTATTTTAACTGGCTTTGTAACTGTTATTAGTGCTCCAACTAACGATTAGTTACATTATGGCTGAGACTGCTGATATTTTCTTGATTAATCAACTAATGTTTTAGTCTATGACAGTGATTCCCAAACTTTTTTGTACTTTTGGCTCCCCTATCATTGTTAATGATTGCAAAAAATTGAGGGGGCTTGAACCTTTTCAGCTTCTGTAGGGCGGCTTGTCAAGAACCAGAGAACTAATGGTCGATGAAAATAAAATAAAACGCCCTTAGCCACCTCCCAGAACCCAAAGGGATGTCCTTAAGGGGTTTGTTTTACAGTGGTATACCAATTGCAAAATTGCATTGGATGCAATTGAAAGCTGATCATACGTGCAATCTTCACATTTGAGAATCTAGAACCAGCAAATATTGGCCATTTTGTTTAAAAAAATGTAATTTTCTTTTGCTCAACCAAGAGTAGAGGCTGTGAGTAATATTGTATTTCACATAATTCCAGTTTATAAAAAAGGCACTGGCAATAGTGCAGTATTTTTAAAAATGTGTATATAAGACGAAAAACAGGAACTAGAACTCATCAAAAATGAGGAACAACCATTACACATGCTCATTACTCACCCTAACTTCCCAGTTTCTTTTCAATGTATTCTAATCTAATCTCTAATTCTGTCCAGAAATGTATCATAACCTTTTTCCTGGAAAGAGTCTGCAGACATTGGGTGATCAGAAGGAGGATAAACGTTTCATGAACTGACTGCAGTTTAAATCACTGTTGTACATTATAAATACAACTGTGTGTTACATCCACTATAAGTGAAAGAAAGAAGTCAGTGGTGTCAAACCCAATATCCTCTTTTACAGTAGCTAGTGCTAAATCAGTGTAAGCCACCTCTTCTCAAGGCCTATTGGTATCTGTGACAGAAATGCTGCAGCCGCTCTTTTTGACATGACTGTCTCTCATTCTCAGAGTTGCCCCAGTCAGAGCACATCAGTGTTGCTGATGCCACGTGGTTGGCCCTGAACGTGGTGTCAGGGGGCGGCAACGCCTCCAATTCGCAGCCCATCGGAGTCACCAAAATTGCTAAATCAGTCATTGCACCGCTGGCCGACCACAACATCTCTGTTTTCATGCTGTCGACGTATCAGACGGACTTCATTCTGGTGAGTGTGCATAATAACCTTCCAATACTGCTTTTGTACCATTTCAGGAGTGTTTATTTATTTTTTTACTTTGAAACAACATCAACATTGTTTGGTTGACAGCAGTCTGACACACTCAGTGGACAACAGTGTCAGATGAGACAGTTGAATCTGATCCTAGTCCAACTAAATTCCTACTAACGTTTGAATATGAAAGCTCACAGGGTTTTTGCAATGTGTAGTCTACCCATAATGTGTGTTTTAGTGTGTTAACACCCTGTAGGCTCAGGTATTCCAAAGTATCAAAACTTCCCTCGCGACCGTCCTACCATACAACGACAACACACATTTACCCACATATAAAACAACATTTTTTTAGGGGGGGTTCTGAATGTGAACAACCAGATAGGAGACTGAATTTGGTTCATTTATTTCAACACAGTGTAAACATCACACCTGTCTCATTCAAAACACAGAATAAATAACTTCCGACTTCACCTCGCAGCTGGACCCGCCTTGTCTTCTTACCCAGAGTCTTAGTCCTGGTCGGAGCCGCTGTAAGTCAGCTGGCCTCTGTTGGTCTTGGAGGCTGTGACAGCAGCTAGTACTGTTAGCATATGCAACAGTGCACCGATAAGTGACTCCCTGTGTAACAAGAGAAATGGTCCCTGTTGCAAAAATCCTCTGATACTTTCATCCTGGTGACAAGGCGCAGTGAGTTTCGACTATCCGACTAACCAAAGGTGCGTCAACTGAGACTCTTCTCCTCGACTAACGGTTAAGTCGACTATAAGGGGGGCAGCCCTACATGGTTTTATGTACTCATTGCGTGTAATATGATTTCAAATTGCGTTAACATTACATTGGGTGCAGTTAGAAAGCTGATCATACATGTCTGATTATTGATCAGGTTCACAGCATGCTAGAGTCACATTATTTATTTGTCTATTATGCAACCACTGGCAACACAACTGTTCATGTCCACACAGTGCCCCGACATGAAAAAGCAATAACGTTGGATATAGTGTACCTTCCACAGCCAAACTTCCTTTTGATTTAGGAAGAAATCCTCTCTCTCATACCGAAGCCTTTCTGTCCACAGGGAGGGTTTTTTTATTGCCTTGCTTTGGTGGAAAAACAAGGTCTGCTGAGCAGCTCTGGCATGTTTATGAAAATGAAAGAAAAAAAACCTGTGTCGATGTTGATAATCTGTTACGTAAAGGGGATCAGCAGCTCAGCCTCTTGCTGGAATTCCAGGTATCATACTCAGGCCTGTTTCCTGTCTCCACACTGGCTGCTCCTACCCACAATCCCAATTACTGGTATATTGGATAAAAAAAAGAGGCAAAAACCTGCTGCGTTCACCCTGTCGCCCACACCCACCACCACCACCTATCTTCTCTCTCTGTTCTTGTCTCACACTGTGTCAGATTGCATTACTGAATCTCTGAGGAGACCAAAAGATAGACCGGCTTAAGATGTGTGTATTTTTTTTTTTTTTTCACTGTTAGGATCTTTTGTGTTACATAAAGCGGTAAAGCCTGACCCAAATGTTGAATGCACTAATTTAAAGAGAGCCTTAAGTATATCCTGACTGAGTCAAGCCGCTCAGAGCCCCTACACACCGGTTTCTCACATGCAACTTTACCTTCTACTCTCTCCACACACACACACACACACACACACACACACACACACACACACACACACACACACACACACACACACACACAGAAATTCTATTCAAGTAACAGCTGTCAGCCTCGGTAAAGAAACACTCTGTCACACCCAAATGTACTTTATCCCTTTCTTACTTTGACCAGCTCCACAGATCACCTTTGTATCAGAGACAACAAAGAAGACATTATATTTGATAGTGAGGTGCTGGTCTGCATGGCAACTAAATTAGAAAAAAGAAACAGGAAAAAACCCTTTAAAATCGGTGAATATATGATTTTTATTTTTTATTTTTGTTTATTTTTGTGTGTTTTTTTGTGTTTTTTTTCCCCGCGAGCAGAGAAGCCTTTCTTCCATTCAATCATATTCAAACCAGACTTTCTGTTTGACAAATGTCCTTCTCTAAGACAAGATGGCTCCAAAACTAATATAATACTAATAACTTAATTTCTATAAATTTTGCTGCAGATATTTATAGGTCCCTCAAAGATTAAGTTAAATATCTGTGGTGATCATTTGACCTTTAGTTTCCACGTATACACACAATACAAATCATACAGCAGTTCCACGAGGACCAGATGATAAAAAAGGATTGCGATTTAATCAAAGCAGGATGATATGATCATACTGTCGCTGTTTTAGATGATGATCTAAAATGCATTAGCTGCTTTCAAACTCTCCTCTTTTCCTGGTACTTTGATTAATTTCTCATCTGTACTTTTATTCCCTGGATTGAGTTTGAGGCAGTTTATTACTGCACTGAAGCCTATTATTCTTTCATTCATTCCGTTATAATTTAAATGATTTTTGTCTTTGTGTATAAATTTTGGATGACGAAGAATTTCTGTGCCACTTTGAATTGCCTTTGTGTTTGCACGGTGCAGTACAGATAAACTTGCCTTCCTGTACTGCCTAGCTTTAGTGATGTACTGCATGTACTCTTCTCCTCAAAGTCACAGATACATACACCACTTTCTCCACATCCATAAAACTCACAGTGCAACCACAAGATGTGTTGAGATAACAACTCTTGCTGTATCAAGATTTCCTCCTCTTTGCTCTGAGTATAAACAGTCCAAGCCCATTTTCTGGAGATTATTGAAAGCTGTAGGAAGTCATTAAGAGAAATAAATGTAGATGACGCCAGGCAAGAGAGTGGGTACACAGAGAAGTAAATTATAGCATTTAACTATAAAATAACTCACTGTAGTGATGTGTGAATGTGGGATTTCCCTTTCAATGTTTTCTCAGACACAGAAACAGCATTCACAGAGATTCTTCACTGTGTTTGTTTTCAACTCCCCTCATTCATTTTTTTGCCCTCAGGTTCGGGAGCGAGACCTGCCGATGGTCATGCACACGCTGTCTTCCGAATTCACTTTGCTCCGGGTGGTCAACGGGGAGACTGTTGCTGCTCACAGTCTGGGAGTCACCAATGGTTTTGTGAAGCCAAAACTTGGTAGGTGCAAACAAACAGTTCTATGCGTGTTTATCGATCAGTTGCTCCAGTTGCTAAACAAAGAGAAATTCACAAGGAAATAAGTATGTAAAAACATGTGCATAATACTACAATATATAACAACATAGGAAGTATGTAAAAATATGTGTATCATACTCTGTATACAGTATAATTGCCGTGTTAATGTCAAAGGATTGCACATTTAAATTATTAAGACCCTTATAAATAGTGATGCATTATCTGAAAGTGTTACTTTAATGTTACAGCTGGGAGTTAAAGTGTGAACCAGTATACAGTGGAGATACATACATACATACATACATACATACATACATACATACATACATACATACATACATACATACATACATACATACATACATACATAAGTAACGTACAAGTACCTCAACAATAATAATAATAATAATAATAATAATAATAATAGGAAAAAACTTCTGATAGATATATATCAGTCATATAAGTATAAGCTACAAAATAAATTCACATTGTCTTTTGCACATTTTACTGTTGGCAAAACAAATAAATGCAAATGTATTCAGGAATTTTGTTGTAATTACTTCAAGTGAAAGTGAACTGGCACATAAAGAACTGCTTATTTATCAAAACTAACACTGTTTGAAATAACAGTCTGAAAAGGTATTCAAGGCCTCACCTCAAGGTCAATATAAGCTTGTTCTGGAGCTTCATTAGCAGATGGAGTTTGATCAGTGGTTGCAGAGGTTCAAACTTTCCATTTTTAGGACTTTTTCTCCTACGTGTTGGTTTCATTTGACAGCAATGTTCACAAATATGATGACACTGAATGCTCATTATTTCCATATAGACCTTATATTAGGATGGCTCTCTGCTATTCTGCTGCTTATAAACTCTCATGTATTTTTGTTTTTCAGTGCCCCGTCCAATCATTCACCCCTTATCTAGTCCCAGCAACATGTTCTGTGTGACCAGCCTGGACCCAGACACACTGCCCTCTGTAGCCACCCTGCTCATGGATGTCATGTTTTACTCTGGAGGGTAAGAATCAGCCCGTCTTATTTGAAATACGGATACTGACAAAGGCCTTTTCTGTTTTGTGTTGTTTGGAATGTGTGAGCAGCTTTCAAAACAACTCTGAGCTCAAAGTGAAAAGATTTCGTATGAAAAATGAGGAGACATGGACAGCATCTAATGAGGGTTGCACTAATGTGTCGAAGAGCTTATCTACAGTACCAAATAACCTTGTTGTAAAGATGTCGTGTAGCAGTAATTGTAATTACATTATTTGAGTTCAATCTTTATTAGCCATGCTAGCAGTGGTTGACACTATGTCAGCATAATAAGGACTACCTTAAAAAGACAGAAACCATCTTTGGGAAATATTTAATTGACGTGGACTTGACGATCGGACATATATATCGTGAGCTTTGGTTTTACATCGCAGACGATTTACTCGTTCAGTAGAAATTAAAAAACAGTGTTTTGAGAGAATAGAAATTCAGCATCACTGCTTCAACCACACTGAGTGTTGTGCCTTGTTTTCCAGGCCAAAGGAGCCTGGAGCGTCCAGCGAGGACTCCAGCCACATCCGCTTCTTCTCCTTCTCCCTGATCGAGGGCTACATCTCTCTGGTCATGGACGAGCAGACAACTCAAAGGTTGAGCAGAAGAAAGCCCTCGTGACACAACATATTTATATTGCTGCTGTGTAATTAACCACACTTGTTCTTTCAGGATGTTGTTTTCTTTCAGTCAAGACCTTTCAGAAACAGTATGTTTATGCAGGGGAAACAAATTTATGATTGTTGGTTGAGGGGGTGATTAGTTTGTTGCTAAGCAATAGCACAGCAGTTGGGTATATACAATGTGCTTAAGTCACAGTGGGTTTCAGTCTGACTCATTCACTCTCTGCTGCGTCCCCCTCTTTCTCACAGTATCCTCTCTAATTAAGCAGAAAGGCCGTAAAGAAACCTAAGCAGCTGCAGATCCCCTCTATTACCACCAGATTAGCATCAGATTGTCCATTCATAAATGAGGTATCCCTTATATGGGGCAGTACTGTCTTTAAGCCATGTGGAGGTAAAATATTAATTGGACCGAACTTTCATTGTGTTTTTAAAGTTCATATGTTGCTACTGCAGCATGTAGGTCAGCTTTGTCCCCATGTTTATGTAATGTGCTGCCTTAAAGGAATAGGTCACCCATTTTGCTCTACTTTATAATGGCTCTCTTATTCAGCGGGCTGAACAGTAGAATCAGAATTCACCTGCTGATGTTAATCTAAATGGTTAATAGTTAGCTTCGCCTGCTGCAGCTTCGCATAGTATCTGTTACCTGCGCCAGGTGTCTGCCATTTGTTAACTAGAGCAAAACAAAGAAGTGCTTTGAAAGTAGAGTGAGGCAATACTTGCAATGCATTTGACTGAGAAACATTATCGTCATCATCATCAAAGTCCAACTTAAATTAAATGGCATGCTTTTTATCACAGCTCAGATCTGTTAATCACATTTCCTTTGTTCTCCTCTCTGTATATTTTTGATTGCATAATAGCGCCCCCTGTCGGTGCATTAATTAGTCAGAATGCCAGGGTTATCTAGCCATATATACAGAGAAATTCTGAGCATATTTCCAATAAAACCAACTGTATTTGTACACACATGCACCAGTGCAGTGCTAATGTCCGTTTTTAGGCTGGATGGCTAATTAGCTGTAGTCAGCTGTAGCACGTTGAAAGGCTTAAAAACCTAACCTGCAAATGGCAAAACAGTCAGTTTAGATGCCAAATGGTTTTTCTGCAGTACTACAAATAACAAATCTGAGCTTTTATTTAGCAGGGATAATGCATAATACATGTATGCTGATTTTCATCTGTAGTCTCTGGGCGGAGGTCACTAATGCGCTGGTTACAAAGATAAAAGATCAATAGTAAAAGTACAAAACCCAAGGATGACAATCATCCCGCAACAAACCACAGCAAAGTAATACTAAATTCCCACTCAGGAGCACAACATCAGCACACTCAACACATGAGATATACAATTCATCAGTAGAAGAAATTACCAAGCCAAGACGCAGTACCAACGCTGGCCACATTCAGCATCTCGCAGCTCAATGACTATAAACCTGATTGTCCTTCAACAATGTTTTGACACTGCATTTTAAATGTTTAAAAGTCTATTTAGGAGTCACTGCACTCTCTGATACTCATTGGTAAAGAATCCCACATCCCAGCTGCCTTAACTGCAGTTTTGTTCAAAGGTTGTAGACGGAAATTGAACAACACAGCCCGTTTTTAGAGGAAGCTCTGGTTAACCTTGAGCCAGGTCTACATGTTGTCACAAACAGTTTAAAAAGGTTGTGAATCATCTTGTACAGTTAGCATCACAGGTTGGTTAGCGTTTAAATATACACACCCAGTCAGCCCACTCAGAGGTTTATAGACTAAAGGAGCATTTCTGGTAGAAACAATCAATATAAAAATCTCTTTGATATGATTTTTCACTCCAAGCTGATCATTTAAGTGCTTGTGACTTCAGTTTGTAGTATATTATATTTGCTGTATACCTGTAACTGTTGTATTTAAATGAATCTGTTCATTTCTTTGTACTTTGTTCTCTTCAAGGTTTCCAAACAATGTCCTCTTCACGAGTGCTTCTGGTGAGCTTTGGAAAATGGTTCGTATTGGAGGACAACCTTTAGGATTTGGTGAGTTTCATGTGGCAAAAAGGCTAGTTTGGCATGGCTACTACCAGGTCACATGATGGCAAAATTAACAGTTACAGTATCAGAGGTGAGCCCATCTCCAAACACAGTGCATGCGAGTATCAGTATAACAAAATATACTCATATTATTGATGCACAGATGCAAAACTCACAAACTGAGCATCTAACTCTGAATTCCAACTTACCAACCTACTTTTAGAGAATTTCTCACCCTGCAGTGACTTCATCTCTCAACGGCAACAAATTAAACAACTTTTTTCATCTGTCGGGATCAGAGCTGATGTGTTGAATCTGAAAGCATCTGGCGACTAATCTGTTCAGCTGGTGTTGATTGGCGCTGCCCGCCTGTCTGATCCAAGCAAGCTAACACAGTAAATATATACAGAGAAAATACAGAACTGTATAATTTCATGTTGTAGCCAATAGTCGTTTTTGACAGTTGGCGACGAAGCTCTGTGCCAATTCATGAGTATAACTTTCTATAGGAAGTGACTTTTAATTGTTTTTTTACCTTGTTAAAATGACATTTTCAGTTTGTGAAAATGTCACATAAAAGCTGTTGTGGTGGATTATCTTGAATGTCACATTATTTATGTTCGCAGCATGTAATGTCAGAGCTTGTATTTGTTTAACACGTGTGGTTCCTGTGTTGGATCTTGTACTGCAGTGATTCCCAACCAGGGGTGCTTGTGCTTCGGGGGGTACGTGGAAAGATTGTAGAGTAGTTTGAGCAAGCAGAAATGATTTGGTCAAAGTGAAATACTCTCAGATCTGTAAACCAACAGAGAGGCCTATTGTGTTTTTCTGGAGTTTAACAGTCACCGTAGTTTCTCCTAAATACTTGGAAAGTGAGCAGTATTCAGTTGGCTGCAATTTGCAACTTCACCACTAGATGCCACTAAATCCAACACACTGGTCCTTTAAAGTCACCTGAAAACAAACAATTTTATTAATTTTTTTATAACATTAAATACATTTTTAAAAAATCATTATTATATATTTAATCAAGATTCGTACTTACATTATCCCAACTATTTCCAACAACGTTCAAATCCAGAGAAATCCATAATTTTAGTAACCTTGCTTTGCTCGCTTCTAGTTGCTATAACAGAGAGAGTGAGAGAGTGAGGAAAGAAGACATGAATAAAACTTTAATACATTACCTCTCTGTGAACATGATTTCAGCCGTCAGATAGATTTTCCATTAGCAATGGTGGTTGTTTAACAAAGAAGAAAACTCCCATGATCCCACGCTACTTCACAATGTCATCTTGTGTTATTGTTTTGGTGTGAGCGCCTCCCACGCCGCTGAAATGACATACTGTACATTTATGAGAGTTACATCTCAAATAATCTAGGTAATATAAAAAAACAAGCCCCCAACTATCATCATATTTTAATTTAAATATCCCTAAATCCTGATTGGTTCATAGAAGTATGTGACATCAGCTTTTTTAAATTGAGCCTCGCTCAAAAGATACCAAACCCACGATCTATTCCAAGATGACTTTTACTATTGTAAATAATGTCCAATTCGATCAGGCTGTTGGGAAACACTGCTGTAAAACCTCAGTGCACATTCAAGTGATGATGTACAAACTAATAACAGCCAGTAACGTTTGGAAATAATGTTTTGCAGATGAGTGCGGCATCGTGGCTCAAATATCAGAACCCCTGGCAACGGCTGACATTCCAGCTTACTACATTAGTACCTTCAAGTTTGACCACGCCCTGGTAAGACAGAAACCTCGCAGTGCTTTTCATTTTGATTAAACACTGCACCAAAACCAATGGCACACTAGCAATAGGTTTGCAGGCGCCCTCTCATCGTCAACCTCTTTCACAGCCATTGGCAGTTGTGTCTTTATTAAGCATCTCATGGCTGTTTATGTGATTTCAACTGTGTATATTTTCATAAGGATTGCAGCCTTATTGTAGTGCTCTCGTATATAATTGCAATGTTGCTACGTATGTCGCCTTCATGGATGAAGTAAAATTACAGATTGATGTGATGTCATAATTAAACTTAGACATTTCAAAAAAGTTGCAGACCCCTGAAATACTGTATATGTGCTGTAGAGCTACAACAGTTCGATTAGTTGATGACTATTTTGATATCCAACTAATCGTTTTTCAAGCACAAATGCTAAACATTTGATGGTTCCAGGTTCTCAATTCTGAAAATTACCAGATTTTTTTCTTGTCATACATTAAAATACATTTTATATTTGGGGATTTTGGAGAAATTTGTTGACGTTATTTGGGCTTCTTTTTTTTACGATTAATCACTGATAATAACCGTTAATGCCGCTTTCAGAGGGTTATAAAACCTTGTGTGTTCTTCAGGTTCCCGAAGAAAACATCCAAAGTGTGATCGGAGCACTGCGGACCAAGAGCACGGCGCAGTGAAGGAAGCCGGAGGGAAAAAAACGATGAAAACGACCGTTTTCAAAGTCATTTCGTTCAAACGTTTATCATGTCCAAAAAGTGCCAAGAGCTTATTAGTGGACTACTGTGGATCGGCTCTGAAAGGAAGGGATTTAACCACAAAGCGTGGGTGGCGTACGGCAGGGAGGGGGAGTTTGACAGTGTGTTAGGGATGCCTTTGTTACTCGGTCATTTTCTTTACCCCCGCCCCTCCCTCCTTCCTTGGCACTCGGGGCCCTCCACTGCCTGCTCTGGTAGTTGTTGCATTAGTTTACCAGACTGAATATGTTTCTTCTCCTCTCTAAAGCTGCTTCTTCCCACTCCCCGACCCTCATGAGCACCATACTGTATTAGTTACATAATTCCTCTCATGGAAGGATGACGAATGTACTCTCAAAAAAAAACGAAAGAAAAATATATATATATATCAAGCTCTCCATATTTTTTTTCTTCTTTTTTGTTTTCCACAGGTCATTTCTCAGTGCCAAGATGTTTGAATGCCTAAACCGATGCCTTTGTCAAAATACTATTCTTGTGTGCAATTGAAGGAGACAATTTCTGAGACAGCCAGCGATGACAGACTGCCTAGCTGAGTAATATGATGGGTTATTTTTGCTTTTAGTGGCTGTTAAACATGTTTTAATGACAGCAATGATCTGACTGGTCGGGAGTCCCTCAGACTTAGAAGTTAAATTCAGATGTTTGGTGAAAACATGATGATCTTGATGAAGAAATATTATTTTTAGTGTTTTAAAAAGTAATTCACACTGTGAGCAACATGATTGATGGATTTTATCTTTGTAGTGGGACTACAAAGTTTTAAACAAACTTTTTTTTTATGGATTCTTCTCAATTTATGTGGAGTCGCGGTTGAAAGTCTGATTAGTTTATTAATTGATTATTTAATCTAGAGAAAGTTAATCTATGGCAATTTTGATATTTGAGTAAAAAACATTTTCATGACACAATTTCTGAAATTGAAAAACTTATTTAACTCAGTTTTATACTGTTCGTTGAATACCTTTGGGTCAGATTAAAACATTTTGCCTCTGGTAAATTATTTTGTATGGATGTTAAAAAGTTCCCAGAGGATAAATCTGACTCTTTTGGGTTTTTACTGAAATATCTCAACAAATTTACAAATGTGTGCAATTAGCTAATGTTCGCATAGCGTTGTCATTGAGAGCATGTAAGCGTGCTGATGTTAGCATTTATGATCCCCTGACTTTTTATGTAGCGCCACCAGCAGGTTAAAGTTTGAATTTGTGGTTTGATTTCTGTCAGATGCGTTCAAAATGAATGACATTCCCATCAGCCTCAGCTGTGCTTTTGTTTTCAGTAAAAAATGTGCACGTTAGCATAATAACACTAAGATACTGAACAGGGTAAACAGCATGTTAACATTATGAGCATGTTAGCAGCCACTATCAGATTAAAATGAGCAATAGAGCTGCTAACACGGCAGTGGAGTCTTTGTCTTTGGTTTTGTACTGTATTGATTAAAATATACAGTATAGAGATTAGTCACCAACAATGTATAGATTGATTATATAGAAAAGATCTATTAAAATCCTTTATTTAGTCGGACAGACTACAAGTGCAATACAAAATGTTGTTTATAGAATCATAATTTGTTTTTTATATATATATATATATAGATCAACTGCCACATAAATAACCATTTGTTGTAGCCCAACTTCATAACTTAACATCAACCCCAGTATTACTGAAGATCCAGTAATTCTGGAGTCCAGGTTGAGCTTAATTTGACGTTTTGTATAATTGCTGAGAGTCAGATGATACCACTCTCATCCTTGTGTGTTAAGCATGAACCTGGAGCCAGGAAGCAATTATCTTAGCTTAGCATAAATACTGGAAAGAAGGGTAAACAGCCTGGCTCTGGGCACAGTTCATAAAAATGGCAATACATTTTACTAACTAATACATTATACCTTATTTGTTTAATCCGAAAACAGAAAAGTAAAATGGATATTTCGTGGTTTTCTCTTTAATTTTCTCCTCGTGGATTAAAACTGTTGCGACGCTACATAAAACGTCACTGCGATGAACTGCTGATCATGTTGCTCACAGTGTGAACCCCCGCAGTAAGACCTGATGATAAAATGCAATGCTGAAAATGTTTGCATCTACAATAGTAATTAATTACTGAGCCACTTTGACAATGTGTTTAGAATAATGACTGAGTGCAAGCGTGCTAAACATAAGCTAAGGTTCACACGGGGCGGGAACGTTTCCCTCCGAGCCCTGGTGTCCATTTAGGTCTTGAAGCTGCCCTTCCCCTGCCCCAGTCTGCACTTTAATGCAGGTTCCACCCCCACAGGCCTGCTGTACTGATGTGAAAACGGGGAGGGCTATTTACTTTAGAAGGATCCTGTCCAGATGGGGAGATTTCTGTTGGTCTTAAGCATTTGGTGATGTTTCTCTTTCTCTTGTTTTTCCCCCACAACACCTTGCACCTATCAACCTTTCTTCTGATCGGACGTGATTAGTAGAAACCCTGTGTGTATCAGTGTTAAAACACGAGGAAGGTGACATTTATTCTGATTCCATTTCGAAGGAGAAGTTGAAAGCTTTTCATTTGGAGCTTCTTGTGTGAAAAAAAAATAAAAATAAACAAGCTTTTTCTTTTTGAGCTTGTTGAGTGCTCAGTTTTCACCGGTGTGTTATTTTTACTGTCTTTCCTTCGATACAGGAATTGTCCTCTCACTGTTATTTCCTCCCAGTGTGTACTTTTAATCAATAAACTGGTGACATCTCTGCGCAGTCTGGTCGTCAGAGCCTCGAGATTAACTGTGAATCACATTTCTCAATCAGCTTTTGTTTTGACACTTTGAGATTAGAATATATGTTTTACATATATTTACATATTTTTTCGCACATTGCCACTTTCTACTTCGATTATATTGTACTTTTTACTTTACATTTAAATGACAGCTTTAGTGAATAATTCCTTTACAAGTTAAATATTTTTTTATTTTTGTACGCAAAACATATGAGAAACTTCTAAAATATGATTCTTTATTCTTTCTTTGCTATAAATTAAAGCATTGTTTCTCAAATGGGGGCGCGGGTACCCCTAGAGGTTCTTTGTACAGAGTACAGCAGTGGCTATGGTAGATCTGTTAAAAATGTTAATTAGAAAGATATCAGTCATGCATAAAGTTAAATAAACCACATTTTATATTCGATATTCCTATTTTCACAAAAGAAGAAGAAAGGCAATGATGTTTGTTCACTGTGAGCCCGTTTCGATACTAAATGACAGACAAAAATAAAGGAAACGCATTTGTGGTTGAAATGTAGAAGCAATAAAGCGGCAAAACAATGAGAAAGAAAACAAAACCAGGGCCAAAAACTACTGTTAGTATCAGGAAGAATGTTTTAATGAGATTTACCTCAACAGGCTGCAACCCTCCCAGGACATTGTGCTTTCAAGGTTGTTTAATAAATCAGACACTGATGGCCCAGCGCTGGATTGTACCTCTTAATATCGACATTATCCTCTACCACAAGTGTTTTTTTGCGTAGGTCAGGAGGTACTTGGATGAAAATAAATTTCAAAGGAGGGACATTTTAGAAAAAAGTTTGAGAACTATTGAATGAAAGAACCCAACAGTGTACACAAGTACAGCTGACATGTCGATTAATCAGTTAGGCAATAGAAAACTAATTTGCCCCAGTTTTGCAAACTTAATAATTTAAATACATTTGAAATACTTTTGAGGTTTGGACTGTCGATTGGACAGAACAAGTATTGGTGAAGGTGTTACTTTGGTCTCTGGGTAATTGTGACAGCATATTTTATGAACTTGGAAACACTACCCTTTTTGTCCACAGGGGGCGCCAGAATCAACACAAAATGAAAGTTTCTTCTTGCTGCTTTAAGTAACATTTTAAATACTTGTAACAGAGTATTTTTACAGTGTATTGTTAGTACTTTCACCTAAGTAAAGGATCTGAATCATAAACAGAAATAATCTTTGAGTTAACAAATTGCAAAAATGTATCGGCACTATACAGGTGTATCACCAGGTAGTGAGGAGTACTGTATACGTGGAAAAGGAACAGAGTAGTACACACAGCAGAGATTTACAAGGTGTGGGCACAAGCTGAAAAACAAGGACAACACAAACTAGAAGTGAAGGATGTCGTCTTGTGCTTATAATAACCTGCCAAGCTGGAACAGCAGCAATGATGTTTCTGGGAATTCAATGGGGACTTGTTTTCCACAAGTGAAAAAACACTTCTCAATGGTGTGATGCAACAAGAGCTGTAAGCAGGAAAATAAGGATTTGCAAAATAATACTGCTTTTTTCTTTATGATAAATATTGCTTAAAAATATTGGTAAAAGAATATTATAACGCTTGGTCCCCTGAGGATGACTGCTAATGATTTCAGGGACCCCATGAGCTTATTTTTCTCTAAAGCCACCATTGGATCAAACTTTACAAAAAAAAAAACAAAACAGGCAGATGGCTGTGAAATTTACTGAGCACGTTCATGCTCCCCAGAGAATCAACCCTTTCCATTAGCACCACCCTGAGAATAAAATCATAAAAGTCATCTTTTACTCACTCATACCGGCTGCGTTGCCTCATTAGATGCTTGTAAATTGATGCTCATAGACTGAAGAAGTAATCAGGGTACAGAGGCCATCTTGTCTGTTCCTACTTCAAATATTTAGATAACCAATCAACTCAGTCAGAATCATATTTTAGACATTTTAAAGGCCAAAAATTCTGATTTTTTAAAATTATTTTAAGACCCTGTGGACACCCTGTATAGTCTAACTTCTGTCCAACACTTTCTTTTTGTGAGGTGTAACTGCAGCCTCTAGGGGCAGCTCGTGGGGTTTTATACACGTAGATGATGTAATGTTAATCATAACGTCATGTGAAAAACCACATTTAGTGCACACACCTGTCCCTTATGTGAGTGTCTTCACCGTTGGACTTTGGCTGCGCTGAAACCCTTCCTCCTCTCCACCCTGCAGCAGATGGACGACAGCAGGGAAGACTGCAGGTATATCAGTTGTCTGTATTATTTGACCTGAGTAAACAAAGCAGAGAACAGCCAGGTCCTTGTAGCCCTGCACGAGAGCCTCCACACGCCACCTTCTCTCTGCTTCAGCTCACTTCAGCACACAGACACAGGAGGAGGAGGAGGAAGAGGAGGAGGGCTGGTGCAGCTGCAGAAACCCTCTGCAGAGCGGGGTTAAAGGAGCGGACATGGTATGTTAGTGTTTTCTCTCATCATGATCATCTTCCTCCTTACATAATCTCCTACAGCTCAACTGTGAGGCTCACTGACTTGTCTGTCCTGCAGAGTGGAAGTAATGGAATACATTTGCTCTCATTACAAAGTTACAAAGTAGTTTTTTGTGCACCATTATTGTACCTCCACATATGTTTAAATAAAGGTTACATTTACTCATTTACTTAAGTACTATTTTAATATATTCGTACTTTACTAGACTATTACTATGCTACTTTATACTTATCTGACATTTTAGGTTACTTTTTGAATAAAAAACATTTCATATACTTATAGAATGATGCATTGATATACTACTAATCTACCCAGTAGTATACAAAGTATTTAAAATTGGCTCCACATTGATGTTAATGCATCTGCTTTTGTAGCCTCTTAAAGGACCAGGGTGAGGGATTTAGTGGCATCTAGTGGTGTAATTGCAAATCACAACTAGCTTGCTTCAAGCACGAAAGAGAAACTACTGTGGCTGCAGAACGTGCAAAAATGCACCTATTTAGAGCCAGTGTTTGGTTTGTCCCTACTGGGCTACTGTATAAACATGCCAACCTATATATTCAACATGGCGGAGTCTGTAGAAGAGGACCCGCTCGCTCCGTAGATAAAAACAGCTCATTCAAAGGTAACGAAAAAGCAACGATACTCATTTTCAGGTGATTATACACTGATGAAAACATTCCTATGCATATTATTTTCCATTATTGACAACAGATCCTACTAAATGTTACGTTCTGGACCTTTAACTCTTTACGTTTAGGTTCATTTACTAAATCATTTTACTTCTCCTCCTCTCTGTTCCCACTCACAACAATCAAAGTAACAAGTCAGAACTCAAGTAGAGCTGCAAACAGAAGAGCGTCTCATCGCTGCTAATTTAAATGCATCACTCCGCTCCGCTTGATCGATTTACAGTCTGCTGTGTTACAAGGTCACCGGTGGGAAATCTCCACCCACGGACATGACAAATCAAAACTTTATGAGCAAGAGATTAACAGCAGTGAGTCAGCGCTTCATCCACACAAAGGCTGATTGCAACAACACATTTTCATATGTCACGCACAAATCTTAACAAACAGTTTACTGGTGATTTCTGGGTATTAAAGCTCAAACTTTCCAGTCATTTTCCCTGAAATCTGGAGCCCAGTTGAACCAAATCACATGCTGCTCTGTTTTCAACTGCAGGTGAACATCTCTTTATTCTTTAACAATGACTTACCGATGAGTAGTTCTGGAGCTTCACATCACATGGTCTTCATCAATCAGCTTTAACTGACAGCAGCTATAATCAGTATTTATATAACAACACTGTTAAAGGGGTCGCTTGTATTAATAAACCTACAGAGTATTATCACGGACAGTTTCAGCTCATTGTTTAGCCTTCGACCACAGCGTTACAGCATTGTTTTCTGCAAAAAACCCACAGTACATTACCTGCTCAGACCCAAACGGCAAGCAAACTCAGTTAGAGACTAGCTGGTGAACATAGCGGAGCAATTAGCAGCTGAAGAACCAAATATTTCCCTCTGCAGTTGGTGGAGACCAAAAACAGAGCTAAAGGAAGAGTGAATATTGGATGGATGTGTAAATAAGCAACCGTCCGCTGTTCGCCGCCCCCATGTGGCCAAAAATAGGTGTGCAGGTTTACGCTGACATAGACAAAAAGTCATAAAATTGCTATGTATGAAACCCTAGAAGCAATTGAGCTCACTTCAGCAGATCCATTTACAAAAACTGAGCAAACTACATCCACTGACCGACAGACTGAGCAGACTTCTCAAAGACTGTAACAAACCAGCAGGAGAAAACAGTTGTGAATAAAATTTGGATTTCACTCTCAAACCTGTGTTGTACTTGCAAATGGGCCCTGTGTGCGCTCACATCCCGCCTCGCAGATTGATCACAGGTCGGATGTTTTATGCTCACTCAGTAGTTTTGTCATAAATACATTTCCATACCCTCGGAGGTCCCTCGAGTTGTCACAATGATGAATGGCCCCAAAATACAGGAACTCAATGGGGAGAGTGCAGCACAACAGCAGCAGGGTGATTGCACTGTAAGAATGAAACTCTCCATCAGCTGGTACAGTCAGAGGTTGATGTCAGTGAATTATAGTCGAGGCTACGGTCGTGATCAGCTTCAGACAACCGCAAAGCACAATCTAGTAACTGTTAATGATTTAAATGACTGAAAAAATGAGGATTCATTTCTTTATTTATTATGTACTTTGGGTTCAAATTCGGCTGTTGAGGAATATCCCTGAACGAAGTGCTCGAATTAAATCCAAGTAATCATTCATCGTGCATTTATTATTGAAAACTTATCTCCACCTTGAATTATATACTTGCCTGTGGACAGATTTGAAGACTTGAGGATTACAGCAATGAATTTGCATTGTTACAGTATTTTAGAATTGCTTTGCTCAGTTTTCACAACAGTCTTTAATGTGCAAAACTGCTGCTAAATTCTTATCTTCAAAAATGCTCCCTGCACACAGAGTGCACAACATTTAATCACACGCTCAATCCTCAGAATACAGCCACCTCATATAAGTTATAAATAAGTTTCAGTGCTCATTATTACGGGTACAGATCACAAAATCAACTCATAAAATTCTATTTTTATGTTGTTAAAACGGAGCAGTAATACAATGTATGAAGTAAGTTTTTATTAACTTATTGGCATTTGTATACACATTTCAGGAAATGATCACTGCAGACATTATTTAATCACTTTTTATACTGTAACTGGTGCACCGTGTACCAAAGGTTTCTGTTTTATAACTATAACTGCAGTGCAGCAGTGAGTCTGGGATGGACATTTTCAGGAGGAATCAATTTATCATTAAATCTTTAAGTCATTTAAATCCATACCACAAGATGAAATCCCCCACATACTCTATTAATCTATTAATCAATAGTTGTCTTCCCTTTATAACGGTAGCAGCCACAAAAAGAGCTGCTGACTTGGTGATATCCTTCATGTAAAATATGACTGTAAACAATGTACACTGTACACTCAGTATGAGTAGGAGGGGATACACACGTGATATTCCATTTCCATTTCTGTATTTATTAACACACAACTGATGTGGTAAATAAAAATAGATTTATTTACATATAGTATATTAAAGTAAATTCTCCATTGCAATTTTGTACATTTAAGGTGGGAAAAGCGGGTTATTTATACATCCAGAAAGGGAATACGACGCAAACATCTTTCCATCACGTTTGATTTAACAACAGTCTCAAGCTGTCAGCAGGATGATCCATGATGGTAGCATTCTGCAGCCTCTATATGCACAACATGCACGCACTGCTGATGACACGAGTTCACGGTGTAAAATTGATTCCTTAAAATGTTGTTTTCTCCCTGGCAGAGTGCTTTCACCTCTGCATCTGCAGTTGGCAGGGAGATAATCATTTTTTTTGTGGATTGTGTATGTTGTCACTGGCTTTTCAAATGTTTTTACAAACATTTCACAGTCCTGCCTAGTGCAACAACATCCGAGAGTCCATTCATTCCACAGTGAATCACTCCATTCGCTCACCACATGTCCCTCTCAGTTTCCTTGTGTTGTGGCAAAAGAACAACGTGAGAGTAAACAAAACATAGAATTTTTACAGTTTTAACCACCTGAAAGCTGACTGTGCTTTTATGGTGGGAAGCTTGTTTGGTTTATTACAACTTGGGTCTTGTTTTCATAGTTTTGGCCATCATTATAATTACATTTCATTGCACTCACTGAAGTAATTACTGTAGAAACTAGCTGGAACTAGGCTAAATCCATGAATCGATTCAGCTCTAGTCGTAATAAACCAAAACTACGCTTTAATATCTTTCTCAGTCGACCTTCATGCTGGATAAAGAGAGCTATGTCAGAATCGACTGCTCTGCACTCTGTTTGACGTCACCGCAGGACGGAGGGACACGAGGGTCCGTCGCCTGTGGAGAGCAGCTGGCTTCAAGACTCCAGCGTGGCCCCAATCGGCTCCCTGAGGCGCCCCGGGGTCAGCGGGGAGAGGTGGACGGGGGGGGCGGGCTCAGCCAAACATCCAGCCTTTCATCCACTTGCGGAGGAACACAGGAGCTCACAGGAGGGACTTCGCCAGCGCCACCATGTGGTCAACACCGCACGCTACGTCCACCACTTGACCTGGAACAGTCACCTGATGGAAAACCACAGAGAAACAGGACTGAGAGGAGGAACGCGCGAGTAAAATCAGACATGGTTGATCTTTAGAATCTTTGGATCAGCTCCAGTTTTTCTAATCTTGTTAAAAAACTTCAGAAAAACCAGGGGAAAAAAGTGAACTTTCTGCACCGTGATGGTCTACACCTTCTAAAAAATGATCCAGGGATTGCAGACTGTGCAACACTGAGAAGCAGTGCGAGTCCTACACCTTCAAATCCTGTTAAATGTCTTGAAGAGACGTGCTAATGTAAGTCTGTGAGACTTATCAGAAATCTCAACGGGGGACATACAGGTCGTGAGATTGTTTAGACCCTGCACACACCCAGAAAATGTTCACTTTGATACTGAAACATACAGTATATATATATTTACTTAGAAACTACAGGAAAAATGTTTTATTCAACATATTCCTTTTCTCTGCCACATTCATATGAAGAAACAAGGGAAATACATACAACTTTGATTTAAAGAAAGAAGTCAGACAAAACGTTTGTTCTTCCAAACTTTCAGCTGCATGGTTTTGACTCTTTTGTTTGCATGACTAATATTGAGTCGGTGTTGTCTTACTCGCCATGGGAAGTACTGGTCGTCTCTCTTCCCGATGCCCAAACAACCTCTCACATTCTTCCCCCAAACGAAGAGCTCGCCTTGATCTGCAACACAACCATCAAACATGAGACCGCTGTCCAGTCAGACCGCTTACTGGGATCACCTCTGAGACATATACAATACATTAAACATGATGACAACCATATTCCTGTATAACTATATCTTACTACAAAAAGTCTGTGCTGTCTAAACAATAGCTTATCTTGAGACAAAGCTTCCTTTAAACTTATCCTCATCCCAGCGACTCCTTGTCTTTGTTAATACACAATCTAAATAATAAAATCTTCAACTTTTAAAGAAACATTAGGAGAGAAGGTGTCACACACAAAGACAATGAAGATGTGTTCAATGTGTAATTAATTAATAACATGTAGCGTACTAAAAGATCAGTCAACTCATTTAGGAGCATTAGCAGGTTATTTGCATTTATGCACTTTTATTTATGATCATGATGCAAACTTTTGGGATTTCTGGCCTTTAGTCAATACTGAATTACAATATATAATAATATACAAAGATAACAATAAGATCAAACTGGATAATGGCTGTTTAAAAAGGACCAGTTGTAGGATTTACTGGAAGCAGGCAGTAAATATCTCTCCCCTCCAAGCGTGGAGGAGAAACTAAGCCCTTATCTAGAGCCAGTGTTTGGTTTGTCTGTTCTGGGCTACTGTAGAAACATGGCAATGCAACGTAGCAGACTCAATGGAAGGCGACCCATGGCATCATCTATTCACTCATTGAATTCACTCAGTCTTCAGAGGTTGAATATGTAATTCATTTAGGGCCGCCCACGAACACTTGAGGATTTGAGTCATGAGTCGACTCGCATTTTGTCAGTTGAATCTTTGCACTTTTTTTTTTTTTTTTGGCTGCATTATTGTACACAGAGTTTAAACATTAGAGTCTCAAAATGACCACAAACCATAAAACTGACTGTGGATAACAGCGATAGTTAACGGAGGGCAGCGTGATGCCGGACAGCGCGGGCAGCAGTCTGATGATGACTGTTTGAGAAGTTGGATGAAGCACTTTTGAATCAGACGGAAATCTGATGTTTTCACATCTCAGATGATGAAGGAAGGCATCGAAAATTCAGAAAATAGAATTAATTAATTAAGTAATTATGAATTATAATAATATAATAAAAATAACTGTTAGTTGGAGCATTACTGGAGTAAGGTACTCGAGTAAATGCACCGTTTTTCCACCACTGTGTAAAACCACAGAAACAATCACTGACTTTAAGGAAATGTCCAGTTCAAGGCAAAGTGGTACAAATACTTCAGTCTTTGAGTTTCCTGTTGTTTGTTCCCTGGTCCAGAAGTTTGAGGCTGACTAATAAAAAGTGGCTTAAAGGTTTTATTCAGTCAGTCCTCCGCTGTTCACATCATTCACTCCACAGGGAGACGACGCACGTTCTTTCAGGGCGCATTAGAGATAAAAAGCAGACAAGAGAAGACTTTTTGTTCAGTGCCATAAAGAGACTGAATTACCTGACTCAACAGTAAACTGCTTCCCCAGACATTGCTGCCTCACTTTTAGCACTTGAGACTGGATGAGACAGAATGACTCTGCTGTTCATGAGTTTTATGTTTCCATCTCTTATCCTTGCTGCAAACAAAAAGGCTCACGAGAACGAAGCCGATGTTTGAACGTTGACGCAGCAACCATGTGAAGTAGCCCCAGTAAACCTTGTGTTTGATGGAGTGATGGGATGCGAGACAAACGTTCTCACCTGTCACTGCAGCAAAGTGGTTGAGGCCACACCTGATCCTGGTGACGGCGACCGAGGGGTTGAACTCTGAGCGTCCGAACAGTGTGGAGGGAATCATCTCAGGGGTCGCCGATTCGGATAGTTTAGGGCCTTTTCCAAGAATGCCATATCCCCAAACAAACACCTCTCCTTTTTCTAAAAGATTCACAGACACAGAAAGACTTGAGTTGACATTTATACACTGACACTGTGAAACAAATAGAAGTAATAAAGAAGACACAGCCCAAATCCATACTAACTCTATATACAGCATGTACTACATACTAATCATCATATCATGCACATTATCATTTTAAGGTTTAAAAAGGTCCAGTGTGTAACATTCAGGAGGCTCTACAGGCAGAAATAGAAGATAATATTCATAGGTATGTTTTTATTATCTTTGAACGTTTTAATCTATTTATCTTGCATAAACCACACACTGGCTCTAGACAGGGCTTTCCTTTGTGTCTGAAGTATATCTGTCTGTGCCCTCTGAGCTAAACGCTAACGTCAGCATGCTAACATGCTGTAAAAAAGTTGATATCAATCCGGCCAATAGTTGCTGAGATATTTCAGTCTGGACCAAAGTAGTGGACCTCATTACACAAATGTGTCTTCATATGATCTTCGATAAGGACGGTTATTCATCAAGATTCTCCAAATCCCTCATGCTGAAGACTAGGACTTCCAAGGAGATATTCATGAAGCTAATTTTATTTTGATCAAGGAAGAGGAATCCTCCCAACTCACTATTTATCTCACACACAAAGGAGGATGTTGGCCAAAATAATAACTCAGTTATCTAGGTTATTATGCAAAAATATGCCAAAGCCATAGTCGGCAGTGAGTAAACATTGACTAAATGTAAATACAAATAAATCCACTGCATGACATATCCTATATTGTGTAATAGTTCAAATGGTGCTACATCTATATTGTTCTGTACTGCACTATAGCACGGGAGTGATTTCCTAATTAAATCATTAATGACTAAAATGTTAACTTATAAGCCTAAAAGTACCAAAGAAATGTGTCACTGATTATTTCAAGCCAATTAGGACTAATTTCTGACTCTGAGATGCTTGATAAATACAAGCCCTGGTTTTTTTGAATAGCTGTGAACATTATCGCTCCCTTAAAATAGTCCATTAAAAGTCTGCAGAGACAGAAATTAGCCTGCTGGTTGACTCGGCTCTCATTTAAAACACCATTAACGGGGGGTAAAAAAAAAAAAAACATGAGCGATTCTGGGAAAGAAAAGGCTCCAGCTCCTATCTTACATAGACGTTCATCAGAAACAGTTGGTGGTAGTCCTCCTGTCGTGTGATCTGTGATGCCACCAAGAGGCCATGTGAGGAGTCACACCTCTGACACCAAAGTGAAACCTAAAGAGTTTGGTAGATAAAAACTCAACCAGAGTAAGCTATCAGCTCAGAACACGTAACTTTATTCCTAAGGGCTCTTTAATTCAGCTAATAAATCTAATTCACTCTTACAATATCAAACACACTGTGTCCGTATCTGAACGCTGTTTGTCGGGTGTATTTGGGTGAACTGACCGTTGAGAACGGCCACCTGTGTCCCTCCACACGCTGCCTGAACAATCTTTCCACAGCCTTTCAGAGGAAGACGTCGAGGAGAGTTGATCTGGAAGAAAAAGATAAACCAGAGCTCAGTGACGGTGAATTACTGCTGCTGTTTCTCTTGTGTTTCAGAATATTAATTATTCATCTATAAACTGTACAAACTGCGTTGGGCAGGATTATATAAATCAGATTAATACTAATATGTAACTATAATCAGCCCAGATTACATTTATATACACTTACTATGTGTTATAAATTCATAGTTACATAGTTGAGGATTACTTGATTACATTTTTTTTATCTTTAAATATTGCAGCTCTAAAAAATATGAAACTTTTTACATGATAACCAACGCTCGATAAACCCTCTGCAGTCAGTAGCCTGTGATTGGGTAATGGTGTAAATCTCATGTTATTCCACTGTGTAATGCGTTTGAGATCAGAGCTGCCACACACAAGGCATCATAGGATTGCCAGTGCACGGCTAACAACCGTGCTAACAACAGCGCCATATAAAAGTAATATTCTCTTCCCTCTTTCAGTGTGATGTGGGTCTGAAAACACTCCATTACAAGTAGACGTCCTGCGTTCAAACTGTTACTGATGGAAAACTACAAGCATTATCAGCACTAATTATACACAAGGACTCCAATAAGTGTTATATTAATTTAAAAAAGCCTTGTATTACTGGATATTATTACTTAATATGTCAATGTGTAGCCAATTGTAGGTACTTTAAACACTTCTGGTTAGTTTAGGATTAAAGCACTGCATTGTATTTATGAGCTCCTCAAATGGTTTTTAATGTAAGAATTTAATCGGCAAAGTAACTCAAGCTGCTTAATAAATGTAAAAAGTACAATATTTCTGTGAAATGTAGTGAAGTAGATGTATAAAGTTGGATAAAATGAAAACAGTTACCTCACAATGCCATTATCCAACCTAATGTCAGACTTCCGGTATTTCTGCTATGGCTTTGTAGTGAGTGATTAATACTTTAATTGTTCTGGGGTCCACTAATATTACAGACTTCAGGCTCGGCGCTGTAAAGTCCTTTTTACTTGTAGGTGACATTTTTGCGAATTAAACCGACAAATGGAGCAGAACTGGCAGCCTAATACGGCAAATTCAGGACGTGTTGATTATGCTAATGAAAAACATTTTAGGAGCGACGCTTCCTCATGAACAGGTGGCGTTCATGAAGTTAAAAAGAGCGAGTTTGATGACTCTGACTTGGAACTGTGACAGGAAAAAAAGTAAGAGAGGTTTTAGGCTTATGACTCAAAATGCTCAAACATCACATTGTGTGTATCTGACTAGTAACTGCTGTGAACTGAGCAGCTTGGGAAAGACCTTTCGACAGCCTGGACAGGTGAGTGACAGGTGGAAATAGAACCCAGCAGAGCCATCAAGCAACTCTTTGTGCCACATGAGCGGTCACACAGCATGGATGCCCCCCCCACACACACACACTTCTGTCTGCTGGATGACGTCAGCTCTCCTCACCTGCGTGGCCTCAGTGACTGAAGACAGTTGCAGGTACTCAGAGTTTCCCCATCCGTACAGGTGTCCGTCTCTGGACACGGCCAGGCTGCAGTCTCCGTACGTGCTGATCTGCTGCACCTCCACCCCTGCAAGATCCCCTCCCACCTCCACCGGACTGGGGCTGACGTTGTGGTGTCCCAGACCTGGAAGACGAGGGAGAATGATACAGAGCTTAAGAACACATCTTAAAAAGAGCTCTAGAGGTCTCTTAAGTTGGTTAATGGCAATATTACGTCTCTGCCAGCAGCGAGTCTACTTTCCTGCTCCAATTTGGTTTTCTTTTTGCTTCCATTTCAGCCAGTCTCCTAGTATTTTATCCATGTTGACATATCATGCATTTATGAGATTGTTGTTAACTTCACAAGATCATTTCTTGCTGGTGGCAAAATAAAGGATTCAATGGAGGAGCTGCTCACATCTACTGAAATGAAAACACTTTAAGGTGGTGGTGAGAACGCCTGAAGAAGATCAGGATTAAATCTTAAAAAATAACAATAGCCCTGCCATCAATATATAATGGTTCTGAAGCTGGAATGGTTCAGTCTGTGCAGATTTTCAAAGATAAAACCTGATTTCTTATACTCTATAACTTCTTGGTTGTTTTGTGTCTCATCTCTGTTTTTCTGCTGTACTAAAAAAACACTGTCTGACTGAGATTACCTGATTAAATAAATACAATAATCCAAGACGTAGAATGTGCTGCACTAGTTTGAGGTGGTTTCACTACGCTTTCATAAACTGTAGTTAGTGGTTATTGAACTGTCGCAGAAATGTCTACTGTGGAGTAGAGAACACATTTTTCCTCTGGCTGTCGGGACTGACTGTGCCCAATACAAGAAATTGTCACTTTGTCGTGAAGTGCACTGACCCGTCTGTCCATCTGCTCCCCATCCACACGCAAACACTTTTCCTTTCTCTGTGAGGAAAAGGCTGTGGTCCTGTCCACATGCCACCTAAAAAACACACAAAATGTGAATCCTCAGTGATCAAATCCCATCTGAATACACGTAATTCAAAATCTAATCACCTCAACCAACTCCAGAAAGTCATATTAAGGCACATTTGCAAGTCTAATTTCCTCCAAACGGTAAGATTAAACAAGCTTGTTAAAAATGAACTGTTAGGATGACAAATTTGGCATTTACTGAATGTTCTGAGGAAAAGTGATTGATGTGGCAATAAATTACATTCTAATGTGTACACTGGGGAGGTGTTCTGTACAGGAGGGGGAATGGGAACTACTACAACCAAAAACCATCCGTCATCACAGCTCAGACAAAGGCTGCACTCACCTGGACGACCCTGCAGCTGAAGCCTTCTATCTTGTGAATGATGTGACTGCCGCTGTTTGAACAGGAGACACAGAAATAACCGATCCATCAGTCGAGGACAGCAGCCATCTTCGAGAGAGGTCACATCCTTCTCTCAACAACCTCTCACAGCCTACGGTGTCTTTAAAATTTACAAATATAAATTGATGCTTGAGGAGCAGCTAAGTTAGCGACCGTATGCTCTCAAATGAAGCTCCAACCTTAAGTTCAAGTATATTTTGGACCTTTTCTGGGACCAGTGTGTAGGATTTAAGGACTTCTAGTGGTGAAGTTGCATATTGCATCCAACTGAATACTGCTCGCCTTCCAAGCGTGTAGGAGAAACTACAGTGGCCACAACATGTTTTGGGATACTGTAGAAACATGACGGTTCAACATAGAAGATTATACACAAATGAAAACATACCTATGCCAAAAGATCCTCCTAAATGTAATACACTGGACCTTTAAGGTCAAAAATGTTTGGATACAGTTGGGCTCAAATTAGGACTGGGTCCAACATATCTGAAGTGTCTAAAAAAAAAAAAAAAAAATCCCAAGTGAAGGTAATGAACCTTATTTAATGGACACAGCGCTTTAGTGTGTATGCACAGTACTTTTTAAGAGTCCCATGACTATCCAAACTATTATAGGATATGTGACATGAACATGGCTGCACACGCCTGTACAATGAGGGATTATTACTTATTGTGGATGTGCTCACTTAGTTTGACCTCCAAATAAAATGGTTAAATAAGAATCTGTCTAAACTGATGGCTTGTTTACATCCAGTCACCATGTTCCCACATTTCCACAATGATATCATAATCTATAGAGATGACGGCCAAAACTATATGTACCTAAATAAAACTTTAAAGTATAATCAAACTTTTTAAAAAAGCAGCAAATCATGAAAACACATCAACGAAGTATGAAAAAAATGAAATTGAAATATCTGACTAAGCAGCAACACTGTTGTGTTTGTGTGTGCAAAGTGCATCAGGACGCACCTGTAGACTTCATCTTCAACTATCCGCCTTCCGCACTGCCCATACGCATTGTTGCCCATACTGAAAACTGGAAGAGAAAGAGAAAACAGAGAGAAGGTGGTGAGGGATAGATTTTTAAAACCCTGAATATGGCAACTGCTATAAGCTTTTTTTATCTCTTCATGTGACATGTTGAAGTTTCATTCTCATACTGAGCTTCATTTAGTCCCAGACTGCAGTAAAAGTAAAAGCCCCAAAGCAATATTTGAAAGATAAAATTACATTTTGATTACTTTTATTCCCCAGCGACTTTAGTTAATATGTGTTGTGGGAGAAAAGTTTTTGCCAGAAATGATGGAATGAGCTGATAAATTAGCAACCATATGAGAGTCTGAGAAGCTACTGCAGTCACGTCCTGTTATTAACACTGACTGAATCCTACAGCGATCATCTCACTACAGTTTTCCTTTTAAAAGTGACAGACTTCACTGAGTCACGCTATAGGTTACCGATGATACAGTCTCTCTCAGCAGGCCGAACTCCAGTCAGAAACCTGGTGATTAAATGCTGCTGAATAACAACCAGGCAGAACATGTAAACCTTAAAGCTGCAGGAAGATATTTGAACGTACACAAAGCAGAAACCTTCCACCTCTCTCTCTCCTCTAAGCTCCTCCTTCTTTTGGCTTGTTTTGTACAATACGCAGTTGGAGGAGGTATTGGAAATGTATCACAAGTTGCCATAGATCTTGACTCGAAAGAAAACCCCTGCTTTAGAGCGCAATGTGAGTGAGCCATGACATATCATTCTCTGCTGTCAAGCCAAACTCCAGTCAAAAATCTGGTAATTTAATGCATTACAGTAAAGTACATAAACACACAAGAATGACACTCTTCAATTTGGCAAATATCCAAAACATGACAAAAACAAATTTTAATAGAATTCATAAAAACATTATCAAATTCCCATGAACAATATACAATGTTGAGGGCAGCAAGGATACAAACACCCTCATGTCATACCCTCTTTTCTCTCTCTTCAGTTTCCTCCCTGCCTCTTCACTTTCACTGTCCAATAAAGCCAAAAATAAAATAGAAAAACAACATCTGTATGCTAATTTGCTGAATGTAAACAAGACCCTCATGGGCTTTTTAAATGCGATTTACCAGCTGCGTGATAATCATTCATTTTCACTGAGTGGTGGGTGGAGGACTCACAGTGCGACAGGTGGTTGAAAACAACAATACCAGGTGTTCTTCCACTGCCAACAACCTGTGACGAACACTCGGCTGCGACGTCTCCTCTAAAAAAAAGCCTTAACTGATTTATAGCAGTGATTTTCTTTCCATACAAGTTAACCAAAGCGTGCAGCAGCTAGATGCGAGTTTGTGAGTGTCTTACCTCCCTCTTGGTCGGTGAGGACCAGAGAGTGAGCGCGGCCACATGCAACCTGAACCACTTTGGTCTGCAGAGGCTCGGCGAGAGGCAGAGCGACCGGGGACGGCTCCAACACGTACTCATAGCCCTTAACTGCAGAGACATGACAAAACGTAGAGGTGTGGTAAATAACTAAACAAATCAAGTTGCGGACTGCACATCCGATCCTATACTTAAAGATCACAACAGATTCAATAAAAAGGATAAAAGTATAAATGTCTACACAGGGGACTTTAGCACCCAAAACAGCGTCCAAAAAAATGGTTAGTGCAGCTTTAAATTTCAAGTTTTTAAGTAAGTTAAGCAGAGTGGAGAGCAGCAGTGATTCTGGTTTTGTCTTACGGCGGCTGTGTTGCGAGCGTTGGAAGCCCAGTTGAGAGTCCTTGTTCAGGCCCATGCCCCACAGCTTGCTCGTATCTTTGGTGGAGGAGGCGATGAGAGTGAAGCCGTAACCGCAAGCAGCAGAAGAGATCTACAACAGAAGAAAAAGATTACCTTACAATATAATATTAAAATCACCCAGAATCTCATAAAAGAAATAAAACCTGTCCAAATGGGGATTAAGACATAATTTGAGCCAACTACAACAATAATGCCATAAAAACTGTGTACTTATGTTATATTATGATTAAAATGGAAGTATTGCTCATAAAATTTTCTGAAGAAATCGTATCAATTAAGGATCAAAATTACATATATGTCATGTTTCATATTGGTTGAACAACACTGCCAGTCAGCATATAGTGAGAATTTCCAGTACATCTGATTTGATTTAAAACCCTTTTGAAATAATCACTGATATGTACTGTGTATTTTAAAAGAGCCTAACCCGTGAAGCTCAATAAAATGATGTTGATTTCACCTGCTCTGCGGTATCCAGCCGGTAAGGAGTCAGCTGGTATTTGCGGGGTTTCTTCCTGCCGCTGTCCGGCACCACAAAGCTGGGGATACCCAGAGCACCGGTGAAGCTAAAGCCCCATACGAACACTTTGTGGTTGGGCTTTCTGTGCTGGCCGACGTACTGAAAAACTGGTCCAGTGTCGCTTTTCTCCTGGGGTCTGGGACTGGGTCTGGGTGCTTTACTGAGTGTCGCATAACCACAGACTTGAAGCCCGATGCTCATGTGTCGACTGCACAGACGCACACAAGGAAAAGCCATCCTGTAGAGAGACAGAAGACAGGGATATATAGCTGTAATGAACAGCAGGTAGTAGTTTAACACAGCCTGAAGACAACCCACAAATGAAAGGCTATTTTAACACTTTAATTTCTGTAATGATGACATGAGATGCCAGTCATTTCATATATATGACAATACATCAGTAGAAACTACTTACGCATTTTCAATTATATACACCATGGCAGTTGCAGTCGTTAGATGAAGTTAAATTAGTGTAAAACTAATTGTACAAATAGACAAATGTTGAAAAATAGTGGTACAGCATCATAAAAAAATTATATCTTGTGTGGTAATGAATTTAAAAAAAACATTAAAGCTTTAATTTTAAGTTAGTGTCAGCAAGCTTCACCTGTGATTGTGCTTATTGTGTGTTGAAGAGAAAATGTAAAAACGCCAAATTCCGTTCACTTATTGTGACAATAAAGCTACCTTAGCCTTTTTCAAAATGAAACATATGATACTAGAAGACTTTAAAAGACTTCAAATATTTGTCGGGGTCCACTAGTAAATTCGGGTTATTAAGCAGGTCTATATTTTAATTAAATGTCAATTATAACCACCTCAGCCCCAGCGAGCCCCGTTGTAACTCCTAACGTTACTTTAGCTAACACCTGCATGAAACCGATGGAAGAACTAACGTGTGAAACGACTAATATGTTAAAATTATCCTAAGATAAGTCATGTTTTGTATGTATAATACGAGCCGAATGAGAAAGTGGCTCCTTATCATTCAATTAAGGTAACTAAACATGTTTTAAAAAATATATAAATTTGACAATATTCATGGGAGTATTAAATTCTCAGTAATATGAACGGAGTTTCACCTCGTGTTCTCTCCGCTTTTTCCACATGCAGCCACTGACTTTGGGTTAACTTACCTCTGCTTCCTGTCGGACCGGGGTTTTATAACGTGTTTCACGGGATGAAGAACTAACTCCTGCTGTACAGAAACTGGTGTGAACCAGCTGAAACAGTAATAATAGATTTCAATGTCATTATCAAGTGTTTATCTTTAGTTAACCCAGCTAACCCAGGAAGTAGAAATGTTCTCTTACGGTTCTCCTTCCCCTCCGTTTTACTCACCTTACAGAAGCATTGCGCCACCTTCTGGACTGGACTGCGTAACATAATAACACTGGGCCGCCTGTTAAACATGACAACTGTACATGGATGTCTTATATCTCCTGAAACACACATGCATCTTACATTACGTTTCCCATTAAATCAAATTTAATTTGATAACAAACTTTACTGTAATTGATTGAATTTAAAGTCTCTCAGTATTTACAGTATCATGTGCATAGATGCCCTCTTTTTTTATTAAAAAATATTCTATATTCATTATGTGGTTTTCATTTAGGCAGGGAAGTACAGCTTTTATCTATTTAACATGTTAAAATTACCCCTTTTTTTTACATTATCCTACATAAAAGCTATATTTAGAGTTGACTGCACCGTTCAATTTCATCAACTTAAATATTATTTCCAAACATATTACTGACTGTTAAATATTTCTATGGAACTGCATGGACTAAATCATACCTGTGCTTGCTTTACCTGTCCACCACTGACCAATAATCTACTCTTGTGTCAGATTAGAGCGACTCTGGAAGTGGGTTAATGCTGCGTGCACCTTACCTTCGCTTCACAGGTTGCATGCAGAGTCACACCTGAAAACTTCTTACCTGCATGTAAACTGCATACGCTCAATTACTGCTGTGCTCCCATATACCTCAGTCACATATTTATTCATTATATTTAAAGACATCATGTCTGTGTCTGCAGTGGAGGGTGGCACACTGATCCAGGATCAATCCTTGACGTAATTGAACCGTGCGGAGAGCTCCACGTCTACATTATCTTCTCCACAATGCAGTTTTAGTTTCAATTCAAGCTTTCACATGCAAATTGGTTGAATGTAAATTGGAAAATAACGTTTAAAAGGTAACACCAGATTGTGTCCAGTAGTCGTAAGATCTTGTATTTCTGTCCCGCTCACTACGCCAGCGATTCTGGCTGTTGTTTCTGGGATATCGACCACCCTCCTCATCCTCTTTCACAATAACTTCTGGATTATAACTGGTGTTATTATACATTACCAGTTTATAAGTAGTACAAAGTATATGTTTTCTCCTTCAAATAACAGGACATCAGAACTTCAGCTTCATAGCTAGAAGAATTTTATTCAATATTTGTGTTCTCCTGCTTGAAAGAAGTCCTGGAAACTTTTATTTCATCCAGAGAACCTAAAGGAATTAGACCAGAAAGTCAAAAGCAGGATTTACACAGCTCTGGTTTGCATTAGTAGCCAATATAAAGACATTCGGATATGGGGTATATGTGCAAACTCTAGTTTTTCAGCTGCAGAATCACGCCAGCCGTCCTGTCTAAAAGCAGGTATCTGCAGAAAAGACTGTAATCCTTTAAGAGGATCAGGTCTGAGATCCAGAGGGAAGGGATAAAGGATCCACTAACTGTCTATAGTAGCCTGCACATGGCATTTCTGTCATCTTGACGGGGTGAACATGTGTCCATTTAAAATGTGCTGAGCTTTAGTCTTCATGCCTTTTATGGAGCATAAACTGATGGAGGCCGAGGCCGCGTTCGACCGTTGGAGTTGTTTTCTTCATGTATCCTGAATCTGAGGACAACTGAGAGGAGTCAGCATCTCAAGGTAACGTACGGTATGTGAGCGTGGAGTGCTGCACATGACAGTTATGTGTTTTGTAATAGTGTAACATACTAAAAAAACTAAAGGTCACTGGGTCAACTCTGGCTCAATTTGGGTCATTAAAGCACTAATGCACCGGGTTAACGTCACCCAGCACTCATGGGCAGAAAAGCACTCACTGTTATTTTTTATATCATGTTGTTTACCCAAAGTAAAATTCTGGCTCCTATTAGTATTTATTGGACATTTTATTTGAACCCCTATAAAGTACTACACAAATATTTAATAAATGGCTCATAGCATGTAGTTGTAAACAGAAATAAGGACATTTTGTACTTTAAGTATATTTTGTGACTTTTACTTGTAATAGAGTATTTCTACACTGCAGTATTACTACTTTTATAAGTAAAAGTAAAATATCTGAGTACTTCTACCTGACCAAAGGACAGTTTACATATCAAAGATTGAGAATGGTTAACAAAGATTTGTACATTTCTCTTCATTGACATACTCTACACTTAAAGGAGCAAAGTTATAGCAAATTTTATTTAGCATTATTAGTCTAATTATCAAAAACAAAGACCGCTACTCTTGTTTTAGGACATTTTGTAATGTTTTACATTTGCCAATAAGTGTAACTTCTCTTATGAATAGGGTTAGGCATGGGGTTTATGGTTGTTTTACCATACATTGCCATCTAATATCTGTTTCTACAACCGCCTCCACTCTCATATTAATAAACACATTAATGTCACATACAAACATTTTAATTTAAGAATAAACCTCTTTTAAAGACCTTTAACCTCCTCATGTGAGCCCTTTGTTAATTCAAATTATATATTCAAATCAAATACAAATGACATTTAAACTGACATGAAGTGAACACACAACAAGCTGTATGTGGTTCTTATTTAGCCAATGGTGATATGAGTCGTATGGTGAACTCACTCCAGTCGTCCCACACAGACAGCCATGCCAGTACTGGAGGTGATCTGCAGCCTGATTGGCTGGTTCTGTCTCTACCTGTTGTTCTGCTGCACCTTCGCTCACCGGAGTCCCGAGTGGAACTGTCGGCTGGTCACTTTGTCCCACGGGGTCCTGATAGTGCTGCTCACAGCGTATGTCGTCTTCATAGACGGACCCTGGCCCTTCACACATGCAGGTCAGTGATGAACAATATGCACAAAAACAGTTAAAATGCCAAAGTAACTTCACTCAAATTTATAAATGCAACTTAAAATGCTAAATTGTTTTATATGTTGAGCTTCTATATCAGCAATGTAGACACAGGCTGTAATTAGTGAGACTGTTTGTGTCTCCTCTGATTGTGAATCATTCTGTGAGTGCTTTGAAAGGACTATAAATAAAGACTGGTTCTAATAGTGTCCTGCTGTCCTCACTGAGGGTTAATGAAGCTCAGTAACAAAGTCCTGTTACTGCTGAATCCACATGGATGATCAGCATGGACACACAAGAGCAACAAACTATAAACTTTAAAATGGATGTTTTGGTTAAATAATAAACTGTGTTTAGAACAGTGAAATGCACAATTTGTGTCAGTCTGAATGGATTCAATTCATTTAACCTTTAATAAACTAATAACTAAACACATTTAGTACTGCACTTAAACACAGTGTTGACCTTTACTTGAGTATTTCCATTTTATGCTACTTTACACTTCTACTCAACTACATTTCAGAGGTAAATATTGTACTTTCTACTCTGTACTACAAATGAAATATGATACACTACAACAGATTCAGCTACACAGCAGTATATAAAGTAATTAAAATCAGCTCCACCAACATTAAAGTGATGAACACATACCGTACATGGAAGGTTTTACGGTCTTAAACACCATCATATGAGTGTAGTCAATAAAAATACAATTTAGAGCCCCATACATATGCCACTGACAGGGAACAGAAGGTCTGTGTTTACTCCCTAAGGCAAACACAAATTTACTTAAATGCACAGTAGCATGTAGAGTAATGAAAACATGGAATTCTTTACCGCTGGTATTGACTAAATTAACACATAAATCAATGTTTAAAAAGGAAATAAGGAAACACATTGCATCATATTTGAAAGACTATATGGGCAAAAAGTGTAAACATTTAATTTTTTTTCTATATGTTTTATGTTTGTCGTTCGTGTTGATTGTGAGATTTAATGTTTTTTAATGTGTTGATTTGTGGACTCCAGGAAGACTAACTGTACTTCAGGGCACAGCTATGTGGGATCCTAACAAACAAACACTGTTTTACACAGGAAATCGCTTTATGGCACGAAGCAGACAGTTTTACATTGCTTTTAACTCTCTTTCTTGTTCCTATCTATCCTCCAGGCACAGAAAACACCGAGCTCCAGACCTTCGCCCTGGCTGTCTGCCTCGGCTACTTCTTCTTTGATATGTGCTGGTGTGTATTCAACCAAACGGAGGGCCCTGTCATGCTGGCGCACCACGCTGCGAGCATCATGGGCATCCTGCTGGCTCTGCTCATGGGAGTGTCAGGCTGCGAGACCTGTGGAGTTATCTTCGGCAGCGAGATCACCAACCCCCTGCTGCAGACCCGCTGGTTCCTCCGCCAGCTGGGCCTGTACGACAGCCTGCTGGGCGACGCGGTGGACCTCCTTTTTATTTTACTGTTTGCCACTGTGCGCGTGGGAGTGGGCACGGTGATGTTTTACTGTGAGATCACCTCACCCAGGACCACGCTGATCATGAAGGTCGGCGGCGTGGTTATGTACGGACTGGCCTGGGTGTTCATGGTGGACATTGCCAGATTTGGCTACAAGAAAAGTAGGGCTAAGTATAAAAAGTGGCTAGAGAACCACAAACTCAAAGAAATCAACACACAAAAGCTGGATTGAAGTTCAACTCCTCGCAGTTCTTGCAGGAACGGCTTACAGAGCTTGTGCCCTGCCTCTGTGCTACATAAGTAAGCCTGTTTACATAGGATTGCTTTATGGTACAAACCAGAAACAGGAGATTTTACTTTAATTGCGCACATGATGGGATGTACGAAGTCCGAGCTGGGATTGACATTACACCCAAGCTGGAAAACCGAGCTCGAGCCAGGTCAGCCGTTGACCATTGTTAGCAATACCAGTTGATTACAACGCATTACGCTGCATGTTGCTCATACAAACATGTCCGCAGACAGACAGTGTGTATGACTGATTTAAGGAAAAACAAAGGACAGAAGTGCTAAAAAAACAACTTTCACTTAGTTGGCAGTTCCTTACTGGTTTCCAACTGGGAACTTGGAAATTCCGACTTCCCAGTTCAAATGGAAATACACCATAAAGTTTCCAAAAAACAGATTAGTTCAATTATTTTTATTATTATTACATTTATATATGTCTGCTGTGAAAAAAAGGCTTATTCTTCTACTACAGCACCGAGTCAAATCAGCCATCAAACTTTTGTGGTTTAACTCATGATCAAAATGTATTGCATCAACACTTAATAGAGCGTCTTTAATGCTTTGCATCTAGAAACAAGGCAATGTGTCAAGCTGCTTTTCTCTTTTTTACTCCGGTCTACCGAGTGTGCTTTGTAAACTGATCTGTTTTTTTTTTTAAAGTTCAGCTAAAGCTCATTTGTTTGTCTGTGTGGCTTAAATGAATCCTCAAGCCTACTTAAGTAATCAGCGAAACAGTGTTGAGATATGACAGATGTGTTATTTGATTTAGCTGATTTGTTCCAATGATTGTGATGCTTGTGTGATTGATGCCGCTGCCATAATGTTTTCATGCCAGATCTATTATAGGATAGGATTTATAAATCATCTTTTCTTGTAGCTATCAGCCATATTTTTAACTTTACCTCAATCCACCAAACTTGTGTTCACTGTATGTTTTCAGTTGTGACAGAATCATCCGTTAAGAACTGAAATGTGAGTTGACGTTCTATGAAAGCTGTGAGTTTATGTCAAAATAAAGCGTCTATGGAAAAAAGTTTTAGAATGAACTTTAAGTAAATGTGGCAGTTTGTTCCCTAATTGGTCCTCGACTTTCATTCAACCCACAGCCACATCTGTTTGTTCTTCTGTCATCTTGTCAATCATCTCAACTAAACAAAATTGGCAAAAAAAAATTGGCATGTAGTTGATTGGACCCACGCGCAGCAACTGAATTTAATTCCAACAAGAAATAATTTCTCCCGTTCATAACAAACCAAATTACCCCCCATTAGGCTCTGGTGATCCCCAGGTTGGGAACCACTGCACTAGGACACCAAATGTGTAAGTATCCAAATCCTGAAAATAGTCCCCGACAAATGCACTGTGTGAGTGCGCAACTGAGGAGTATGACTGAGGAGAAATTATATATTTGTGACCTGTTTTTGGAAGATTTATGTGTTCAGTAGGAACCAAAGTTCTCAGGGTTGAATACCACAGAGATACTAACATGTTGTTGTTTTTTTCATGAGAATATATAAAAATATAGACTAATAACAGCCTTATCCTTTAAACTTTAACACACAAAAACAATGATAACAGACTGTTGGTCAATCTAGAAGGACGTCTGATTCTACAGCACTGTTTCTGCAGGTTAAACAAGTAAAATCTATTAATTAATAATCATTAAAGATTTAAATGATAAATAAATAAAAATAAATGCATGTTTAATACCACATCAAATTAAATCGATCATACCGACCAAAGTTTGGACCTTGTGATGGAAAACCAGTAGGGACGATGATGTAGATGCTTAGAATTATTTATTATTACTTTCTAAAAATAGTTTTTGGGATGGGATTACTGCTAATTTCAGCGTGGATTGTTCCTTTAATACTACTTGTGGACATGTCCCAGCTCCAGACGGATATAAATTTAAGATAAATAAGATGCCAACATCAAACCCCAGCTCCCCAAAATGAAATAAAATGACACCTTTTTCAGTCTTTCCTTAATTTTTAACAACAGATCATCTTAAAATCTCCTCATCTAAGAGGAGCTATTTGTGCTCTCATCAGCAAACATGTTAACAGGGTTAATAACAACGTAATAAAATATAACATTTGGAACATTTATGACACAGATTAATGCTGCATGGATACTTTACCCTCTTTTTAAGTAGTTTGTGTTAAAACATTACATGATTGCATGGTGTAAAAAAACAAAACAACACACAAAACCTTTAAAATACAGTCATAATTGTACATTATATTCCTTTACATTGAAAACAGTCCATAACAATCTATTTAGTCTACACTGACTTTTCAGGCTTTTCTTTTTAATTTGTTTTTATCTATTTCGTTAAAAAATCGAAGCCATAATGTGAACAAATATTTGCATCCAACCGCTGAAGTGAAGTGCAGAGGTTTGACGAGTGACTCTTTGTAGCCTGTATGAGGAGCCTGTTGCAGAGGCTGAAGTGATCTTGGAGAAAACCTCCTCACAATATTTCGGGGGACTACAGAGACTCGTTTTTAGTGTTTAAAGATGTACAAAAGCACTCAGATTAGTCAATCACCGCACTGTGCACACTATCATGGAGGCCAGTGGAAGTAAGGAAAAAAAGGGCCGGGAATACAAATAAGTTCAATTCAATAAATTCACATGTGCACACGATCTATTTGATGGAGTATTTGTGCTCTTAGATGCATTTCAGCATCAGAAAGACACCAGCAGTTACACACAATGTCAATAATTAATTTTACAGCTGTAGTTGTTTTGCCGTTCTACCTACCGGGAAGATGACAGAGGACTACAGATTTCACTATCAGCACTCACTGGAACAACAAACCAATCAGTATTTTCCAAATCTGTTTCCTTACTGCATATGTGCCAAACTCCATTTGACCAATGTAGATTCTTTGAAACAGGTTCTGTTCTTATCATCCTTCTGTACTGTTGTATTAATTTGGCTCAAATTTGGTGAACTGTAGGCAGACTTGGATCAAAGTGTCTTTGCTGTATTATGCTACATTCAAGTGCTATAGGAAATTTGAAAATCAGGGACTTTAAAGTCAGCTGCTGAACATTATTTAATTTTTAAGCTATTTGCTCAGACATTCAAACCAAGAACACTAATAAACAGTACTGGAAGTGTTTTTATCTTTGAAAATAGGACTGTTTTTCATTGGATATTTGTGGTCAGTTCCCAAATAAATGATGTAAAGTCTATTAAACCTGAACACGTACACAAGCCTCTTATAACCAAATTTAAATGGTATTATTCATGTGCTTGAAAGAATACTACTTTACAATCTTGAGAACATACAGTATGCTTATTCGCTTTCTTTCTGAGAGTGAGACGTCACTATCAGGACTTAATTAGCCTAGCTTAGCACAAAGAGTGGAAGTAGAGGGAAATTGTTAGCCTGGCTCTGCCTAAAAACACCTTTAAAGCTCACTAATTAACAATAATCCGTACAGAAACATAAATGTAAAAACAATTTGTGGTTTTAGTGGGACTATTTTATGACAGACAACAGTTTATCCATCCGTCCAGCACTTCAAAAATCCCTGAAAAACCATAAACTCCATCCATAAAGTCATTTTTAAATTTCTTGTTTGTGTATGGATGAAACAAACAAGACACAACATTTTAATAAGTGAACTCTAAAGGTGCTGGTTGGCTGTTCACCCTCAATTCCAGTTTTACACTAAGCTAGGCTAAAGACATACAACATAAAATAATCATTTTGAAGACAGCCTCTTGTGTGTTGCCAAATTTAAAAACATAATCAGTGTATTGAGAGTACAATTTTGGCATTTAACATTTAACTTTTACAAAATAAGGAAGTCTACCTTTAAGTATGTTCAACTATGTGGCATGCCGGGCTGAATATGTACAGTTAGAGGTTATCTCTTATTGCAGACTTTTATATCAAGCTTACAGCAGTGAGTCCTGAACCTTCCAGATCCTCAGCGTGGTCACTGTCAGAGTCTTCAAGTCTCTTTTCATCTCTTAATGCTTCTCTGCTGTACATGCATTGGCCCTGTTCCATGTCATATCTCCAGTGTTTAAGATCATTTATGCAGTTGATTATTATTATTATAGCAGAAAGCAACTGAATTGTCCTCAGGTGATTCCACAGTGTCTCTCCTGAGAAGGATTTTGAGTTTATAGTGGAACATTCCTATAATAATGACGTCTTCCACTGATTGTCACAAATGCCTGAAGTGGCAGATCAGGCATTCGGCCTCCATTATTGGGCGACATCAGTGTTAAATGGTCAAGGATCCCTCCAGAAGAAAGTAATCATGGAGTAAAATGAAACCTGGCTCATACGAAGGAGAGAGCGGGAAGACTTTCGTCACTGAATCCCATCTGAAAAATATCAAACAGAGTGTTTATTGATTTACTGTAAATGTACAAAAGATGGATGTGGATGAACATCAGTCGATTGTTCCGAGTGACTGAAGTGAAACAAACCATTGTTGTCGTCTGAGTCAGTAGCCGGGTCGCTGTGTGTTTGTCGCAGCTCGTTGTACTTTATCTCCACCTCCTGAAAGCACAACAAAACATTGCAAACACAATGTGTTGCACAGTGAAGGAATCAATATGAGAAAATGTTCTCTTGATGTAGATTTATATGGAGACACTTCACACACCTCCTGGGGTTATGTTATTTTCCTTAAAGGGACAGTTCATCTCAAAAATACACTTTTTCCTCTTACCTGTAGTGCTATTTGTCTACCTAGATTGTTTTGGTGTGAGTTGAATCCTGACTTGTTGTGAGCACTTTTATGTAGGAACTATTTTCTGTCTACCAAACTACACCTGGCAGGCGCAGCTGAACGTTGGCTGTCTCTAACTAGGTCATGATTTTTGGAAAAAGACATTTGCTTTTGAGTTTTAAATGTTTAAATTAGTGTTTTTCTGGTATTTTGAGCACCAGAAGTCGAGTGCCATCTGGTTCCATAATATTCAAGAGAAGGCAGACATCTCTACGGCCGATGTTCCAAAACTCAGCAACTCACACTGAAATAATTTAGATGGATAAACAGCGCTACAGGTAAGAGGAAAGGGTGATTCTTTTTTCATTTTAGGGTGAACTGTCTCTTTAAATATCTGTTAGGAGAGAAAAAAACGTAATACAGAATCATTTAGTCCCTTTTTTTCCAGCATATCCTCACCAGTTTTACATCTGAGTGGTAATATGGGCATCTATGTCCTAACTACAGTTCACAGTTACCGCACAGTAGTAGTACTATAGCACATAACAGTTATAGTACTATAATAACACCAATTTAGCTATGACAGTAGCGTTCGTGAGGTTTCGAGAAGGCACCTCACACATACGGTAAAAATCCCAGGAGGAAACACAACCGGATTATGACGAGAATTCCTGGGAATGGAATCTCTATCCCAGCATTCAACCAGCAAACCCAGTAAAAAAACAATAATTTTGTGCCTTTTTGAGCAGAAATATACTCGTCACGCTCTGAACATAAATCAGACCATCTCTGTATCTGAAGACGACCGTTATTCTTTATTATTAGTTAGTTTATTACACAAGGTCGAGGTCGACTACTTCTGGCTACTTCTGTGAGTGTGTGTGAGTGTGTGTGAGTGTGTGTGTGTGTGTGTGTGTGTGTGTGTGTGTGTGTGTGTAAAAGCAGCTCACAAAGACAGGCTGTCAGTTACATGTGCAGTTACCTTCAGATACTGCAGGTCGGCCTGCAGGAGGCGCAGGTGAGTCATAAGCTGCCTGCTGAGGTTTGGGCCTCCGCTGCCCCCTGTCTGTGAGGAGGAGGACAGCAGTTTCCTCATGTCGATACCCACATCACCTCCTACTCCCCCATCATCATCGGTGCTGCTCTCCTCGGAGCCCCCAACAAAATCCAGAACCACAAAACCACCTGGATGGAGAGGAGGAGCAAACTCATAAAGGATAGATAAAATAGGCATAGATTTATACTGATACTGAACTCTCTCAAATTTGTCTGTTAAATATTAAGCCATTGACAACAGCCACTGTCTGTAAAGTGTCATAAATCTGCATTCTTTCTAATGGCCAGCAGGGGGCAGCTCAATGGGCTGGGCCCAAAATGTGGGACTATTCCTTTAATCTGTCAATAGCAAAGATCCAACAGAAAGCGATGCCCTCACCGTTGCGTTCAGCTGTCTCTGACAGTCCTGAGGGTCCTGACGGGAGCTGATGGCTGTCTTTCTGTGAGTTTGCAGACGCTCTGCCCTCATCACACGCAGCAGAGGGCCCCTCAGGGCTCCCAGGCAGAGAGGCATTCAGCTGACACCCAGGGGCCCCACTCTGCTTGTTCTCTGTCTCCTCCTCTGCCTCTCTGCTCATCATGTGGTTGAAAAGAGACTGCTTCAGCATCGCCACTAGGAGCGAGAAAAATTTGTTATTTTCTGATGCCAAGAATAGATATCTAAAAAACTTGCATGGCTTTATACCACTAGAGGTAAGAAAATATGTGTATGTAATTTGGGTGAACTGCCCCTTTAACATGGAACTTACATGTCCTGAGAGCCTCTTCCCCTTTGGAGGAGGGTAAGCCGAACGCGTTGTGCTCCTGGTTTTCAATGGCGATGCCCTGACGTGACCCTTGCTGCAGGAAGGGCAGTGTGTCTGCCAGCTGCCCGTCCAGGAAAGCCTCTAGTTCTGCTTCATCCACCTCTTCATCCTCCTCCTCATCCTCCTGCCTGTCCGCTACGGCCATCTCCTCTTCCTCGTCTTCTGATTTCATGCCATCGAACGGGTTCATACTCGGTGGAGCTTGAATGTCGGGAGAAGAGGCGGCGTCTTTATCTGGGAGTCAAATGAGGATTATGTACATTAGAATATCAAATTTAAAGTGTAGTTTTTAATGTTATGTAACATGTTAAATGCAATACAAGCTTTATGTATGTCACCTTCAAATTCAATAGAGATACAGTTTGTTTTTCTCTGGATGAACACCAAACTCTGATCCAATGGACGTATTGAGTTACTCTAATCTAACAATTCAGTCATTTTTCATTAGATTTTTCTATTAATTCAGTATTTGTAAAGCAGATAGAAAGACATACACTTTGTTTGTTTGTGTTTAAGGTCTTAAAATTTCCTTTTCTGTCTGACCAACAGTCCAAAACCCAAAGATATTCAGATTAGAACGATATAAAACAGAGACAAGAAGAAAATCAGTGCCAATGAATGATGGCATTGTTGCTTGATAAATTACCTAACCGATGGTCAAAATTGTTTTCAACTTATTACATTTCTGACTAAATGACTAATAAACTAAATGTTTCACCACCAACCTGAAGAACTGATGCTTCCGCTCGATGTGCTGTTAGGATCTTTGCTCGCCTTGGGCATCCCATGTTTGATGATTTCAATCGCATCCCGCTCAGCACTGAAACACACTCCTCAGATTAGAAACAATAATAAAAAAATAAAAGAATCAATATCAGTGATTAAGTGTTAGTGGACTCACTCAGACTGAGCCGAAGGTGTGTCTCTGTTGCTGTGGGGTTTGGCCTTCATGGCTTCAGCACATTGTGTGATCAGACACTGCCACCTGGATGAACAGAGGTGAGACAGCAGGGTGAGACGGAGGAGGCAGACTATATGCAGCCGAGTTTGTGGTGCGAGACTTACGCTCTTTGATCGAACACCGTCTGCGCCATCAGCTCGTAGATCTGAGCCCCGTTTTCAGACATGGACAGCACGAAGAAAGACTTGTTGTCTGATGAGGACATGCATGAAACTATTAGATGCAGTACATGATACTTAAATATACATATATAATACTTAAAATACACTGTGCACAGCAGGAATTAATGAACATAATACAGACACTGACATATGCACAAAACAATAAGACAGCACCAGGCTAAGAGTGACACTAGTAGTTCTGTGAGGCTGTACAGTGGTGCTAAGTGCTCATATCAACATGATAAACACATGACAATAAATGCAAAATACAAAACCACAAACAGAGAGAGAGTGTAGTTCTTACCAGTCGCCACTGGGCGAACCAACACGGTGTTGAGTTTGATGATGGGGCTGAAGATGTGTTTGGTGTCGGCGGCGCTGGCAGGATTCTTGCCGTGGAATTTGAGGACCAAACGCTCGTCCTGTTTCTGCAGTAAAACCAGGATATCCTCCAGGAGGATCGTGTACAGCTCTGAAAGAAGACACTGGTTATATAACACTGGATGTGTGTGTGTATTAGGGCTGAAACCGTTAGTCGATGAGAAGAGTCGTAGTCAACCCACTTTCCATTAGTTGGGATAATAAATATCATAAACATGCAACAACTAATGGCTTTAACTAATGACCACTAGTCAACTAAAATCTTGGGGGCACCCCTAGTGTGTATATATAGGAGGGTAAGGCTGTAAATACTGTAATGATTTCCATTATTTAAGTCACAAACTTTCTAAAAGTGAACAAAATGAACATCCTGCTCTAATTATTTATGCAACAGTGGACTTTTTTAAATCTACACGTCCTCCTCTTTATTCATAAGTTTTGTTTTGTTATTCTCATATACTGGTGTGTGTCTGTGTGTGTGTGTGTGTGTGTGTGCGTGTGTGCGTGTGTACCAATTGTCTTGTCTTTATTGACTTTCCAGGAGAGAGGTCCCTCGTGCACCATCTTCCTCTTGGTCAGGTCCAGATTCTGCAGGACAAGAATCAATAAAAAACAACAACAAACTGTTTCATTAATAAGCTGAAAATGATACAAAGACAATCGAAGGGGCAGTAATGTTTGTTTAATCTGCTGCACTGAGACTTCATGTCGAGCTCAATAAAAAGGTTTCTCACCTTCAGCTCCAGGATCATTGGGTTTTCACTAGGTTTGAGCGATGAGAGGTCTAACCTCCTCTGATAATCCTGTAACCTCTGTTGAGAAAAAAACACAAATCATTAAATGGTTTTCAGTCTCTGGGAATTTACTGAAAACACCCAAACCTCCAGTGCAATCTTAAATATCACTTTTTGTACCTGTTTGTTTTCAGCCTCTTTGACAGCCTGGTTGACGTGGTTGAGGATCTTTTTGCAACATTCTCCAGCTTTCTTCACCTTCTCCCTCTCATCGCCATCTTCTGCGGGGAGATAAAGAAACATAACCAACAGCTGCTTGATGTACAACCAAAACTCATTCATCATCCAATCTATTACCAATATACCTGTGTACTTGGCAATCTTGTCCAGTAGGAGTGGATACTTGGTGACTCTCTGCATTTCTACAGGAATGATGTCTTTAAGCTGCAGCCTGCGACACAGACGGTTGCTCTCAGCTTTCTGAAGACGGACAATAGGGATTAACATATCATACAATAAACAGATCTAACATATAATTACAACTTGTATTGAAAAATACAGTTTAACTATGTTTTTATAACCTGCTGAGCTTTGTGTCTTCTTGCAGCAGGAAGGTTTTGTGTGTACGATCAGATAAAAGTGAAAATCTCCTTAACTTTTTAAAAAAAAAACACTGCTGTGGTTGGAAATCAGTAAAAACACGACTGGTGAACCTTACATACAGTCAAAATGAGCATATAGAAGTTCCCCATCTGTTGACCACAAGTGATGCAACGCAATTATAATAAGATTTCTGTTGACTGGAAACCAATACTAATATTAACATTAACATAAAAAGCACTAGAATACTTTTTTAATTCAAAACTTGAATTCAGTGACAATATTAGTTATTTTATATCTGCTGTTTATGTATTAAAATTTTATTTAAAAAATTCAACATTACACAATTCTCACTCAGGGTCCACTTGCAAGCTTCATCTGTAGATAGAGACCTTGTAAGTTGACTCCAAGTTTATTTTGTCAAAATACTACTTCCAAGAGTCAAGATTGAACTTGCTGTCTTGCTACACAATTCACTTCCACTCTCATAATGAACAAACCTCTTCCTCTTCATTAATACTGTGCTGACCTGCATGAATAAATTGAACCTCTGGTCTTTCTTCTTCCGGCTCTTGATGAGCTCCAGTGCAGACGGCTGGTTACTACAGAAAGTTCCCACTGCTCTCTTTATCTTCTCCTCTTCCTCCCCGCTGAACTGGAATCAACACACAAACATAGAATACACTTAATGTATTTACTGTTTTTACCCAGAGCAACTGAAATGCATACAGTATCAATTGTTACATCCCATCACACGTGCAGTGTAAATCTTGTATTGGATGGACATTTCAATCCAAGTGCAACCTTTAGGTTCAGCATCAATAAGTAAGAAAAAAATCCTTCATAATAAAGTCCTTAATAAGTTCTTATTGATACAACTTGTTGGCTAGATACGTCTGCCTCCTGCATAAACTGAAACTTGTCTTACCCACGCCAGGAGATCATCTGCGATCGGACCGATGACCGATGTCTCACTCCTCTTCCCAATCGCTGTCATCTGCTCTGTTACATAAACTGTGGAGCAGAGTCAGAAGAAAATTCTGATATGCAAACATTCAGCATCTCATGCCTGTTGTTACTGACAATACAGACATATTTGAAATATATGCTTGAATAACAATTGTAAAAATATCATTGCAACTATAAAACTGTTCACAGAAATAGTCTCGCCATGTATGTGCACAATGACAGTAGCCACATAATGTTTGGCAGCATGTCATATTAATATAACATAAACTTACCAAGAGCATGATGGGAATGATGCTCTTATGTGACAGGTTTTTGTCTCAGTGTTTTCCAAAGAAACAGTACAATAATAGAAGCTATACATTTGTAAATTGAGCCTAATCCTGGTTTATGTGGCCATTTATTCAAATAAATATATATAAACACACACACACATATTCTATTTAAAGGAAAAAGTCAGGAAAGGAGAATAACATGCAGCAACAATTAACACACTTATTCCATGATTTATGCTCCCTTTGTGTCATGCAGGTTAGGGGTGTGTAGTGTTACCATGCAGCTGAATGATTTCCTCCAGGTTAATAAAGATGTGTTTGATGTCTTCTGGGGGGAGGATACCGTCTCTGCTCAACCTCTGGTAGAAAACAACGTCCAGCACCTTCAGAGTCCGCAAGTGGGCGCGCTCAGTGTAGAACAGCTCTGGAGGTGGACAGACGCAGACATATGAGAGGACATACTGTATTTATATTTTATCTTTTTAATGTCACGCTCAGAAATCTGTGAGCTGTTGGTGGCTCACCATTGATGACTTCCTGCCGTTTGATCTCCTGTGGCGTTAAGCTGGCCAAAACGCCTCGGCTGACCAGACTCTGCCAGTTCAGAGGGTCCTCTTCATACTCTATCTCACCTCCCTGATCGTCTTCACTCTGGACGTCAGCTGAACACACCCCACACTGCACCTCCATCCTGCTGCCGGACAAAGACAAGAGGGAGAGAGGCTTAATAGAGATGGATAATGCGTCATGCTAAGTCTTTTTTCAAGCAAAAATGCCCCAAAAAATGTGTGTTTCTTAAATGTTTGGAGCTTTTTATTTTTATCATGTGACAAAAATTTGAATATCTATGGGTTTTTGGTTGTTGATCGGACAAACCAGGCAATTTAAAGACACATTCTCGGGCTGATGGGCATTTTTCTGACATTTCATACACTAAAAGGATCAAAAACAAGCAGCACAGTCATCAATAATGAACATAATTGTTAGTTGCAGCCCTACATTAATGTCCTCTCTTGTGCTCTCCACGTTGTTATTAGAGCTAACATACAGGGGGAAATGACCTGTATTTTATTTCTATTATATACTGGGGTATTTGTCTGCAGTATATTATATTTTGGTTAGTATTTCCTTTAGCAAAGTGACAGTTATTGTTTTTTTTTTTCTATAAAAATGGTTATTGTTGCTTTAGTAAGAAGGTATGCTGAGTATGAAGGTTTTTAAGTAGGGTTGTAGGCTTCTGTCTGTACTTTAAGACATTATTAACTTCTCTCAGCACCCCGAACTTCTCTCTTGCGTCCCCTTTGGATATAGACTGTTACCAGAAAATCCAAAACCCTGTAAATACCTGAACGTGTCCTGGTCTTCCTCCGGTGACTGCTCCAAGTTGGAGGGGCTGAAGTCAAACTGAGTCGGACTGGAGACGCCTTCCTGGTGGTCACCAGACTGCAGACCCTCGCTCAGCCTGGGCTGGATGCAGAATGGAGACACATCTGTAGAGTGAAGAGAAGAGCAGTAAAATACTGAGGAAATATAGAAAAGCTGGTATAATTTGTGTTATTTCAGACCCCATTCAAATATTCACATTTTAATTTTTGTCTTTGGTTCGTGGTTAAAAGAAAATGCAAAGGATTTAATTATAGTAGTTTGTACCGGAATGTCTTTCATTAAAAACTGTCCTTTGACTTTTATTTCTTTGCAGTGAAAAGCTGAAATATTTTGAGCAAAAAAAGGTTATAATATTTTAAGAACAATGTACAATTTCAAGAAAAAAAGTTGTAATAGTGGCTAACACCCTATTGTATTTAATACTCCTCCTTAATAGTGGTATTATCTAGGGCAGTGATTCACAACCTGTTTTTTTGTCAACCTTTTCTCTAATTGTTGCTCCTTTCTTAAGAAAATATATTAAAACTGTTCTCTCCAGGCCTCTAAAACTGATTTAATGGAACAATCTGAGAGGAGAAAATCACTCTTGACTGAACTGCTCAGTCAAAAGAGTCACTGATCAACGATACTACTGTCATATTCCCAATAATTGTTTGGTTTGGTTTAGTGCTTAGTGAGGTGTCAAATGAGGTGAGGAAGAGAAACAGGTATATCTTACTGGAGTCTGAGTCTTGTCCACTTGTATCTGAAGTCTGACCGGTGGGCGAGCTGTGCGTAGGGGAGGTGGTGGAAGGCAAAAATTGGCTGCTGGTGTCCGATCCCTCACTGGACTGATTTCCACGGATCCGTCCAGAATTCGCTGCAGATGAGTCCGACTGCTCAGGTATGCCGAAGGCCGGCTGAGAGAGCTGCTTTGGTGACCGCTGCTTGTTCATCTCCACAGCCTTACCGACTGCACACAAACACACATGTACAGGGGTAGAAAATGCATAAAAATGCAGCACAGAATTCATTTTATAGCATTTTTGTTTTGATTTTACGGTCTTTTATTAAAAAAATTTACCAGTTGCCTCACTCTGCAATCAAGGTAGTGGGAACTGTGGTGTTTTAAAACAATACTTTTAAGGGTTTGGTTGCATTTTCTCCTCACCTGAGGTGGAGTCCACTCTGCTGATACGCCGAGGGGGGCCGAGGATGTTGGGAAACCGAGGCTTTTTCACCTTCTCCTCACCGTCCTTCTCAGACTTGATAGTCTTCTGCTTGTCAAGGTAACAACATATTTGCATTTGAAATATTTACTTGAAATTGACTTCATGATAATAATGTAATTATTTTACGAAATGATTTTAAGCAAACTGTAACTGAATTGCGCATTTTATATATATATGCAGTTGTGATTTTTTGGCAATTTTTCAGAGAATATGAATGATAAGAGAAAAACTTTTCTTTCAGTCATGGTTAGTGGTTGGGTGAAGCCATTTATTGTCAAAACACTGTGTTTAGTCTTTTTAAATCATAATGACAACAGAAACTACCCAAATGACCCTGATCAAAAGTTTACATCATCATAAATCATAAATTCTGCCAGGGTATGTAAACTTATGAGCACAACTGTATATAACGTCATAGGTTCCTGAACAAGGGATCTGACCTTAATCTTGGGTAGGAAGTTGATGCGTGCCCGTTTATGTTCGAGGCTGCGAGGCTCCTTCACTTTCACCCCAAGGTGCTTCATATAGGTGAGAATCACATACTGCATTGTTTGGCTGCAACATGACAAGACACACAGTCAGTTGTTATTTACTGTATGTGCAATATTTATAAATCTGTAGGTCTCAACTACACATTTCTTTATTATACAATAATGTATTTATAGTCATAATACTACTACAGCTAATAGTAATGATAGTAATAGTAGAATACAGTATTATTATTCTTTACCAACCAAACTTTAAGCATGAAGAAGACCCTTTATACTGCATGTTAATGGTTAAACAGTTAAACACATGAACGGAAAGTGAAACCGATATCACATTGGCTATGGGGCCTTACCACTTCTCCTCTTCTGTGGGCTGTGACACCAACCTGCAAAAGGCAACTTATGTGTTAGCACATACACAATCACACACAAATACAGGAACTGAATATACACATGTATGATGCCTTCATGTTTGTCTGTGCTCAGGGACTCACAGGATATCATCTATCTTGGAGAGGATGTGTTCAGCACAGGAGCATTCCTTCTCCAAGGCCTCTTTTCCTTGCTCCAAGTCCAGCTTAGACAGCTCATCTTCGGCCAGAGTTAGACCCATACTGCGCTTCTGTCTGCATGCACAGAAACACAAAGACTCATTCACAGGGCAACATATAGAGATATTACTTTCTTACTGTATTATACAGTTGTGTGACTGTTACCTGAAGTCTTCCAGGTTCTTGTGCAGGTCTGGTAGAAGTGTGTCCTGTAACAGCTGCGTGTACTGTTTGCAGACCTCCTCAGGGATTAACTCCAGCCTCCGCTTCTCTGTGCAGACACACACACAAACACACACACCAAACACAGTCAATATCTTATCACAAGTTAAATGGAATGACTGCATTTCTGAAACAAATTACGAAAGCAGGGACAATAACATATATGGATCTCAGTCTAATAGTGATTTAGCTTTAAATTATGAAATATGATGTTTCTGTGGTATTTTAAGTCAGTTCATTGAAGAAATCTGAGATGTATTTTAGTCCCTTTCCGCCCCTTACCCAATTCAGCTGCTATTGTGTCTGGCAGGGGTACTTTAAGATTCTGGGAAAGACAACAAAAAAGACTGAGAGTTAAATCAACAAATATACAAACTAGTCAAAAATATGGTCCAAGAGTAAAGAAACTGACTGTGAAAGAAAAAAGCAAGAGAACGACTTACTGCTGTTCGATCCATAAAGAATGAGTGGAATTCAATAAAGAAGCGCCGGCTTTCTTTGGAGCTGGTTTGCTTGTGCATGTCAGCGTAGAGATAACAGAGCTAACAGAGGGAAGAGGACAGAGAGCTTTATGTTGCTGTCAGTGTGCAGTTTCTTATCCCATTTAGTATATAAGTTCAAGATTATTCTATGTATTTACTGCCTCAAAACAATACACATTATCTAATCAAAAACCTTTTCCATGTCAATGATGGTGTTCTACAAGGATCGATCCATGGCCAACTTTAATTTCTATTAAAATACTATTTACTCTTACTCATATCTTTTTTTCCTCTTTGAAAGGTCAGAAGAAGTAGATCATATTTGCGTTTTTCATATTGGTATCAACCCAAAGAATGCTGATCAAATGAATAGCAGTAGTGTGTGTGTGTGTGTGTGTGTGTGTGTGTGTGTGTGTGTGTGTGTGTGTGTGTGTGTGTGTGTGTGTGTGTGTGTGTGTGTGTGTGTTTGGATATATACCAAAGGTGCAGGGTCAAACTGTGAGACAACGTGATGAAGAAAGACTGCGAGGTGAGCTGGCCGAGATTTCAGCAAGTCTATATTCTGGAAAGAGCTGCACTCTCCATTAATCTGACAGAGAGAGAGATTCATTTATTACACTTTTTGGAAAGGAGACAAATAACAAATCCGTGCTGTTTTTAGGTATTTTTATGAAAATAATAAATCAAAATGCCTTCCTACACCTTACTGTTTCCTTTTTTTTATATTTAAATGTTCATAAAAGTCAGATTAGTCTATCAGTTGCTTAGAAACTCTTCTTTAGATACCTGCTCTTGCTGAGAGCCAAAGTATTCATCTTCTGCTCCGATGATCTGGGGGTGGAGGAGGTAGGGAGAGCTACCAACAATGCACTGAGCACTGCAGTCCTGAGTGATACATCCACGGAAATGTTTACTTTAGCTTGATGGTAAAGATTTTACAAAACCAAAAGGAATAAAAACATGAAACTTCTGAGAGAGCGTATATTACTGTGTCAGGGGGGTCCTCAGCGTCGGGCGACGAGCAGAAGTTGATGCCGTCTTTGCGGCTGACGTCCGGGCTCTGACAGGGCGTCTCTCTTTTGCCAGGACTCTCTGGGAGGGGGCTGCTGTGCATCTAATACACACAGACAGAACCACGAACAGATTAATACACACGCAGAACAACACAACACTTAAGCCAAATTGATTGTTTAGTCTAGGGCTGAATACTGGGAAATCCCCAGAGATTGGAAAGTACGACCATTTCGTACCTATTTATAGAAGTTGTGATAAAAAAACGATTGTTATTACAAAGGAGTCTGGGTAAGCAGTATTCCCAGAGCGGCTTCCTGTTGTATTTAACATCAGATCGTGGTTACTCTGTCCCCTGGTCAACAGCAGCACGTAATCCATGGTAAATTAGTTTTTTGTTGTTTTAGATAAAACACACTGTCCCAAAATAGTAAAAGAATAATGTTGACATTGAAGCTGAGAATTTTCGAAACCTAGGCCATCTGCTTATAAATTATAGAGTAATTTCTTCATTATTTTTTGATTAATTGATTGTAAAGTGTCAGAAAATAGTGAAATCCTCCCACTGCAAGTTCCCATAGCCCAATGACACATCTTCAAATTGTTTGTTCTGTCTGACCAACAGCCCAAAACCCAAAAGATATTAAATTAACAGTGATATAAAACAGAGAAAATACGTTTATCAACTAATAAGTTAATCAAAAAATTGTTTCAGTATCTATAAGTAAGTGTAGAAAAATGTACGGAATGAACATGAGTACAAATCATGAGTGCTGGAAAAACAAACACTACAAAAATACACTTGAAAAGTAAGTACAGAGTGCTTCTGGGTAATGTGGTTAACCATACTAACTGCTGTAAAATGACATTATACCCACAGAGTTATTGTTGGTCGAGGGCCCGTCGTTACCGCTGTCACCCCGGGCGGACGGGGTCTGTTCCCTCAGAGGAGCCCCACTGTTGCCCTCGTCAGCGTCACTACTCCTGGACCCTGTGGCTCCAACCTGAAAGAATTAGTTTACCCTCTTATCAGTTAGAATTAACAAAGGTCCAGTGGACTAAAGAGCCTGCAGTGACCTGTGTTAATGTGAAGTGTGTGTGAAGTGACAGGTGAGCTGAAGCTTAATTTATACCTCAAAAACTCACCTGTAGGTCTTGTTGCTCCCTGGTTAGCATCTTGTGCAGATTGTCTGCCTTCTGACTGTGCATGGTTTTGTTCTCAGCCTAAAAGATGAGAAAAAGAGGAAACACTGAGGCAAAATAGTCAGAAAAACACATCATTACAAAATTATTCCTGTAACATAAAACTGTGAGTGTGAGGAGCTTTAGGTCTACATAGTGTAAGAGAGAAGTGATACTAATCAGACTGAAAGTGGAACAAAAAGGGGAACGGCGATGATTTCAGAGTAATGGAGTATATGATTAGAACAATGTTATATGATAGATTCTGCATGTCTCTAAATCCACATTTTAGAAGTGAATGAGGAAGAAAAATGGCATAGTCACGGCGCAAAGAAATTTGAAAAATCTACCAAAATATTTACACAGACACCAGATTTTATGAAACCGCAGTCTCTAGTTTGACATGTTCAGTGTCACAAAGAGGACAAATCATTGACACAGCGCAGCAGTTTTGGTAAAAGCAGGCAGTAATGGACTGAGACCATGGAGCTAATTAAAAATAATGAGCTGTGTGGGTTGTACCAGCCAGATAAGCCGCGCATATCATGAACCTTATCACAGTTAAAAATAACATCATTTCGGAGCACTGCAGATGATTCAGATCCAGCAGACTCCACGTAAAAACAAAGTGACCAAATAATAAGGAAAATAAGGACACTTCTCTCCCACACCTTTAAATTGCTCAGCCACAGTTCTGTGAAACTACATTTACATGTGTTTATGGAGTAAGAGAATATTATTAAGGAATAAATGTGGAATTCATTCATGATTCTTATATATTTCTGTATAACTGTACACAGCAGGAACTCTGCAGGACTCCTTTAAAATTAGATTTCACTCACGAATACCAACTTATAAACTGAAAAACCTCCTGTCGACTACTCGGGCTGCGTTTCCCATCCAGAATGTAGAAAAGAAGTTTAAACAGAAACATAATAAAGAGGCTTCACTTGAAAACAGCTTTATAGAAGAGCTACGTGTCACATTACACCGCTGGAAAACATTACAAACTCTGATGTTATATTCTAATCTGTTCAAATACACATTATTCTGGAGTAAGCTTATCATGACAAAGCCCAGATAATGTTCCTACAGTACTCCTATAAGGAACAGCCAACCATGATATTGACCTTAACATACCAGGCTTCATTTTCCTGCTGGCACAAAGTCATAGCACAAACGCAGTCCTTTTGCAAAGTTAATTTAACCTTACTGGTATTTTTATATCGGTGAATCAGTGATGAATCATCCTCATGTATGAATAATACATAAATAATAGCCTAATTTTACACAAGATCCACAATGATTAAGAGCTTGTGTCCTTTTAAGAGGAGCCAAGCTCCCCCTGGCTCCCCTGTAGTTGGAACCCTGTATCCATATATCAAACTCTTTACTCACTTCAATAAAAACTAAATAAGGAAGATACTGTAGTAATAATATAGTAATATAAGTAAGAGATAGTAATATGTGTTACTCCAGTTGTTGTTAGAATGAGGAGGTTTGCATTTGTTCCCACTTTCAGGAAAACTTGAATGTATATGTTTATGGGATTTTAACATACTATGTCACAGAGTTCTCTGGGTTTGAGAAAGTTTAGTTCGATTTTAACAACAAAATCCGACTTTGAGTGTCTGTATCTCATCACAAAGTGTCAGGTTTTATTATTTATCTGTGCACCACCTCGACCTATTAGTAAGTGCTAAGTACCGTGATGTGTTCCCATCTTTTATTAAAGAGATAAATGTATATATATTCTTACCCCATCAGGCAGAGAGGAGGCGATGTGGTCCTGGGGGCTGCAGGACGTGCTGCCGGTCACGGGGCCGCATTGCTCCCCACCTGGCAGCGCAGGTGAGTGTGGAGCTGAGAGAGAGGAGGGTGGACTGACCTCTGCCCCTTCCTCCTTCTCTTTCTCCTCTCCCTCCTCCAGGGGGATCTGACGAAGCCCCGGAGGCCTCCCCAGCACTGTCAGAGCCACATAGGAACCCGCTGCCAGAGAAGAGTCATGGGAAAGGAATGAAGGGAGGGTGGAAAGAAAGACACCGTGAAGATCTGATCACTGAAAACAGCTGAGACAAGGAGCTCCGTCAGAGAAACATTTGACCACATAAAAGGAACGAAAAAGAACAAAATATTACCATAATGCTGATATATTGTGTCATGACTTATATGTCTTGTCCAAGCCAGCTGTACACACAAGTGAATAGGAAAACCGCTGACTTCCCTAAATTAAATCTCAATATTTATTCTCCACAAGTCTTCATAGCTAAGACTCAAAGAGTTGTATGTTTGCAGGCAGGTTTTGTTTCATCACAGTCAGCAGAAATGTGTATTTCATTGCTCCAGTAACAAAAAAAGTGGCTGCAAGCAGTAAAACCTTGAAGTTTAAAACACCCCAACAGAAACTAGGTAACATTATACTCTTAATATGCCATTAAAATCACTGAAATTCAAATGTGTCACAGCATACTGAAGATGTAATTAGAAGTGCATACTTACATTTTATGAGCTTCACAACCTCTATGTGGTTTGAATGTGTAACTAAGGTCCCATTAACCTGTCAGAAAACAAAAAGCAATGGGATAAAACAGCTGACCGTGGCATACTGCTGAAAGGATAAGAGTGACGTTATTCTATATTTTTGTTACTGTCAACAATCCCATGAAATCACCAAAACCAACAATGTGTTAGTCCATCTCCCGATACCTTCTGACTTTGCAACCCCGTCTGTGACTCTCTGCTGTTATTTAAAAGCCTTCATCTCTTCCAAAAACATGTCAAGGAGGACGTGACCCAGCGCAACGTTCTGGCTCACTGATCTTAATTTAAATAGTTATTTTGGACTGCAGAGCTCCGTGGAACACAGAAATGAGCCATATCAGGGTTTGGATACACATTCAGTTTTGGTTTTATCGTGGGATTTTTTTTGACTATCACAAAAATATAGAAAATGACCAGGCTTGACCTCTAATCACCTGAAACATTGAGTTATTATTATATTTTCTAGTCACAACTGTATTTGTGTCACTCTACAGTTCAACTGTGTCTGTTCCCTGTTTTAACCCCTAAACAGCTCGTATCCAGTCTGAGACCCTCTGGCAGAGCACTTGAAGGTCCAGTGTGTAACATTTAGGAGGATCTATTGGCAGAAATAGAAATATAATATTCATAGGTATGTTTTCATTAGTGTATAATCACCTGAAGATAAGACCTGTTGTGTTTGTGTTACCCTAGAATGAGCTGTCCGTCATGTTGAACTGCCACGTTTCTACAGTAGCTCAGGACGGACAAACCACTGGTTCTAGATTGGGCTTTTTGCATTTCTCAGGACATGAATATATATTAATATGATAATATTGGCTATTGGAAATTGAGTCCATCACCTCTTGTTGGGTTTTTTCAAGGCATTTTTTGTCATTTAATTTAGTTAATTTACATATCTTTACACAGGAATGCACTAATCTGATACAGACCTCATTCAATTAAAAGTATTACAACAAAAAGAGGCCTGGATTTGAATCTGTACTCTGTAATTTGCAGACAGACTGATCCAGGGAAGGAGTCTCACCTTAATGATCCTGTCTCCTGTCTGAACACCAGCTCGCATTGCAGCTCCATCTGTGACACAAAAGACAGAACAGAGTCAGAGATGTTACTTCTACAAGTGTGTGTGCTCTCTGGACCGCGAACGAGGTCAGACTGAGGTCAGTTTCAAACCATCGTAGCGAGGAATTTTCTGTACTGTGAGAACATTTTAACTTAAAGGGTTGTTTGAAGGTTAAGACTTTGATTTTAAGGCTATGGTTAGAATGAGATTTAGATTAGGGATGGGGATCAGGCATGTAGTTGTGGTAGTTAATTTTAGGGGCTAGGGGCATACATTATGTCAATGAGGCTCACAAGTATAGAAAGACAAACGTGTGTTAGTGTGTGTGTGTGTGTGTGTGTGTGTGTGTGTGTGTGTGTGTGTGTGTGTGTGTGCGTGCGTGTGAGTCGGAGCCTTACTTACCTTCTTTAACCAGCTGCACAAACACAGGGTTGTCTCCACTTACGGTCAGCCCAAAGCCATTTTCATCTCTCTGGATTATCACACACCGCTGGACAAGACCTGTCATTTGCACACACATAAAACAGCACACAAACACATTACATTACACTTCACAGCACCAATGTTAGTAAAATAAGCTTTTTGTCCTAACATGTCCCATATGAATATATTTTTATATTCCACATACTGCTGCCAGTGGAAGTTACTAAAAAGTATTAACAAAAGTAACTAATGGAGGAAGTTTAGTCTCATACTTTTGTACTATTTGCCTAAAAAGAAATTCGGGCACAGAACGCCTGGTCACTTGTGGGAAAAATTCTCCACACAGGAAGTGACAAATCAAGAGACTGAAGCAGAGAAGGTTTTTAAATAGAAATCTGCTTTCTTTCCAACAAAAACTGGACACGCCAACAAGAGATCTTTGTCCCCTCTTGTCTCTTTTATATCCTTTCTATGGCAATATAATCATAATAATGCTTTATTTAAAATAACACTTTCTGTGTAAGTTTGAGCAGAAATGTGTATAGACTATAAAAAAAAGCCATATCAAAAACGAAACACTTCATTAAAACACATATAAAACACTTAAATGAGCAAATATATTAAAATTATGCAAACAAACGATGTAAATCACGGTAAAACTGAGATAAATAAATAAATTCATTATGATTGATGTATTGTTGTCACCATTATAGCCCAAGGCAAACAATTTTAGGAAACTGACTTCTCAATTTCTCAAAGTATCTCCTATTACTGTAACAGAAAATAGTCCTAATAATAAACAATGCTATGGAATATTTTTTCAATATCTTTAAATTGTGCAATGTTTACCCCCATGTTTACTACCTTTCAATCTTCTTCACTGCCTTTACGAGTGCGTAAATACCCTTTTGCATGTGTTACCGCCACCTACAGCCGAGAAGCATTAACACTGAGGGGCCAATTCACAAAGAATGGTGATAGCACCACGAATTGAACTTCGATCAAAAGCGATTAAATGTTCATCTGAATTTTCTGTAGTGTTCCCATTAATATTTGTCCTTAAGTATACTGAAGTAGCATTGTGGTTAAGCAACGTTTTAGTCAAAAAATGTTAAATATGCAGTTCCAAGAACAATACTACAATACTTTCCACTCTTATCTTAAAGTGTTTGATTTAAAAGAGAAGTTATTCTAGTTCTAACTCTTCTGCTTATATATCAATAGTATAAATATATATTAATTATTCATTTGGGGGAGCTTTAACTGTGCACTCTCCCTCATTCTTCTGGGCACATGGAGCTGTTTTCTCTCCAGTCTGTAACTGCTGTAGGTTTTATGTTGTTTTGCAGTTTCATCTCCTGGTGAACTCCTCGTGGTGAATGTCAGGTATTGTACTGTTTGTGCCATCTGTCTGCATATAATGTACTCTGATGTCTGACATTTGCATATTACTTTATTTAAAGGTCCAGTGGGTAGGATTTAGCGGCATCTATGATGTAGTGGGCAAATTGCAACTCCGTAGAAGTAGTAACTTTGGCGGCTGCAAAAGGCGCAAAAAGCGCAAAAGGCCCTATCTACAGCCAGTGTTTGGTTTGTCCCTTCTGGGCTACTCTAGAAACATGGCGGATCAACATGGCGGACTCTGTAGAAGAGAACCCGATCCCTCTGCAGATAAAAACGTCTCATTCTGAGGTAACAAAAACATAATGATTCCTCTATTCGTTTTATTCCCCACTAATGGAGAATCAAATTATATTCAATTCAATACACACTGGACCTTTGAATACATGCAGAAATGACCTTTTTTGTCTTATGTGTGCAGGTTCAGCAGCCTCAAAAGTTACTCAAGTCTTTTGTGAATCCTCCCCTGATAATCCCCTCATAAAAATCATTGCTCCATAGTGCTGCTAGTGGTCAGAAATTCCACAGGATACCTAACCTATTTATATCTATTAACACCCCGTTTTCTGTTCTATTGACAGTTTGGGAAATCCCATGACTGTTTGCCAGGAGCACAGCTAACAGTACCCGTTTGAATCTGCCAAGTCCTTGTGACTCTGAAACTAGTGCCTCCATTTGTAAACTCAGCTGAGTCATTCATATTCCTACACTCATCAACACCCTGAAATCTGCAACAACCATCTGCTAGATCAAAAAAGCTGCATCAGGGATGTTCTTCCTGTTGCTACTGAGGAAGTTTATCGACTCACTATCTCCCTTTTCCTTTTCCTTCTCCTGAGTGGATAATTGGTTGTCTTCTGGCCTCCATGAAGGAGCCTCAAGACTCCAGGGTGAAGAAAAGGGCAGGAAGGATTAATGTCAACCCTGCAGCCCAGGCAACCACCTTAACAACTTGTTTCTGAGCTCTGCCTACAACCATACCATCGCTGTTCTCCCTTTCACCAGCTCCTGCCGTATAGACTATGGGACACTTTGTATCTTAAAGCAAATGAATGGCGGATGAAGAGATAACTTTATTCAAGAGTACAGAAGAACAATTAAAAATGTCATTTATATCAAAGTTTACCCACTGAACTCAAGGCTGTAAATTCAATTATGTCTAATAACTATTGTCATTATTGATGGTAATGGTAAAGAATGCCTATCATTTTGCTATAGCCTAATGTGACATATTTAAATTACTTTTTTTGTCCGACAAACAGTCCAAAGCCCAAATATATTAAGTATGCTTTGATATAAAACAAAGAGAAGCAGCACATCTTCCCATTTGAGAAGCTGGACCTGGAAAATGGGTGGCTTGAACAATAACTCAAATTATTGCAAATACATTTTCTGTCATTCGAATAAGCAACTAATCATTTCAGCTCTAAGTTTGAACCCAATGTCTCAACAATCATTCTGAATGCAATGTGTTGCTGTGCATGTTTAGATTGTAAAGTTATAAACCAATAAAGAGTTAAGAAAACATTTTTATCCCTATGTGAAGTCAAGTCACTTACACTTAACATTTACAACTGAACCTTCACACCAAAACCTACCTACGAGTTTTTAACTGGTTATGAAACCGTCTTAATTGAATGCTGATGCCTCTTTATGACCTACATTAACAAACAAGACCATCGGTGAGACAAACATTACACTGGCCCCCAGAATCAACACAAAATGAAAGCTCCTTGTCGGGGCTTTAACATACTTCACAGAAGAAATGCTGCAGCATATTAAAGAAACATCATTGAAAATCAGGCACCAAAATCAGAGCACAGAAATAAATGTGTGTGTGTCTTTTACCTGTGGGGTCAAACTCATGTTTGAGGGAGACTGAGGATTTCTCATTTTTACGTTTCTTGTCTGTGGGGTCCTTGTTGAGAATGCTTGGGGTCCTAAAGAGACAAAGAGCAAAGTGAGAACCCTTAAAAACAACCTCCAGAGTGTCAAAAGAAATAAATACATCTTAAATTATTAAAGACACACCAGCTGATTTATAAGATTTAAAAAAAGAGAGAATTAAAACGTACAATATCGTGTAACAATTATGAACCCCAAGTGTAGATAATTATGTCAACAGACAAATGTGAAGTACAGTGAGGTCTTAGAAGTATGATGAGATATTAATGGAAATGTCTGTAACCACTTTACACTACATGTCACATTCATACATTGATGGCAGACATTACAATGCAAGGTGCCAACTGCTCATCAGAAACTAACTTATCACATTCACACACACTGATGGCACAACTTCAGGGGTTCAGTATTTTGCCCAAGGACACTTTGACATGAGTCAAAGATACAGGCGATAAAGTTATAAACCTGGTTAAAGCAAAATTGTGTAACTTTTATTTCCTAAAATAACAGCTTAAAGTCACTTTGATGATACACTGAGTTGTTGGATCCCGGTTGGATCAAGTGCTTTACTGCAGTAGTCACTTTGTCACTGATTTTGGTGAAACTGGATCATATTTTATGGAGAAAAGGTTTTCTGGTCTTCCCTCCAACATTCTCCAGCTCAACTCAAATTTACAGATTTTCTTGATGGACATTAAAGTAACTGTTAATTGAGCTAAGCTGTCCTGCCCTGGACGAGCACCAGTGGAGTGTTTACTTCCTCTCTGGCAGCACAGCAGCTCATGCCAGAACCGGAGCCCGGGGCGGTCAGGAAATGTAACCGGGCTCAGCAAATTCTATGGACATAGCAGAGGCACAGAGACCAAACAGGTTGACAGAGGAGGATATAAGAGAATCAGAGAGAGAAGAGACAGAGTAAATCTGGGACTGATTTTTAGTCGTTGGCGAGAGCTTTGTGAAATAAAAGGCTGCAGACAGACGGCGAGCTGACCTTCTTGATGTTGGACTAGTATGTAATATTAGCTGGCTTGCTATGTCTTGCGTTGTGTAATCTTACACATCTTACATAATGTTTCTTTAATACGTTGACATGACTGAAGAAGAAGTTGAGTGAAGTTGGATGAGTTTCTTCACAATGGTGAACTGAATCACAAACGAGAATGGTAGGATGTAACATACAATTCATGTACTTTTTAATGCCACATATAGTTATTATTTATCTTCTGATGTGGACAAAAACCCTCTTTGCCACTCATGCAGCGTACAGCCACCCATTATAAATGACGCCTTTCATTAGACAACCAGTGTTCTCCAATCATGCCCACGCTATCAAAGGGAAAAGGCAAAGTTGTTGATGTCTAATTTTTAATTAAATGACAATAAAACGCCTCAGCAGGCTCCGTGTACTCCCTCTTTCTTGGTATTTGTTTAACTGATTTAAAATCCTTATCCCTTGTGGGAGGTGAACCTGATGGTGGTAGTTCATATATTAATAGCAGAGGTTCCCCTCTCCGTGTCCGCCCCCCCTACAGCTCCTCCTACTCGTTCCACAAGAGGGGTTTTTGTTTGTGCTGCTGTTCCTCCCTTGGACAATGGGGGCCCTGGGCTTTTAACAATGGCTCCCACGTCAGCGCCAACTTACTATACTGTGGCTCTATGGGACAGATTCCCGGAAACGGAGACTAGGGTTTTTGGCTCGGCTCCAGTTTCCTGAATGAGGGAGAAGGCTGGGAAAGAAACAGAGGAGGGAGACGGGAAGGAGGAGGTGCACAAGTGTCTTTGAGGGAAGACAGGGCGGAGGACATTTCAACTTATAGCTGCGAGAGTGTGTGAACAAACTAACCTCATGGTGCAAAAAAATATGAAATCCTGGGATATCAGATTCAGACAAATAGAAGACAGAATAAAAATAATATTTTTCTTTGTTTTGAGCTTTGGTAAAATGAACCAGACGAAATAGTTGAACCTCATTCCACTTTTCTAGACACAACTGTCACAATTACAAGCACAAAAATTTTTTTTATTGTATTACTGGGGTAACCTTGTCTTTTTCTCTGAGATTGGAGGGCCCACTGAGGGTGCCTCCTTGCTGTGGTTGGAAGAGATTAGCGGTTGATAAGACATGGCGAGACAAGGACAGATTGCATCCTGCTCAGTGGGTGGTAGCTAAGTACTGGATAAGAGAGAGGATTTCAGCTTTCAGCTTCAGATTCATTAAGACAAACTAGGTGAGAAAAACTTTACCAAGACACCTGGACATCTTTATCACAAAGATTGATTGCAGTATGACTGCACCCCAATGGAAAAGGTTTATGGGTGAAAGAAAATAAATGTATCTATTTGCCAAAGGGGGTTGAAGATACTCATGAAGTTTAGAGGGTGGCAGGAATTAAATGTATAAATGAGAGTGAAGACAAACTATGTCTGAAAAATACAAAATACATTTTCTCTTATGTTTTCTTTATCAAATTATATAATTTTTTTATCATTTAAATTTCCGAGGTAGGGTATAAACAGTGCGAAACAATGCATATTACCTTTAGTGAAATTAAATGATGTCTTGATACCACGACTGATATCATAACATTTGCCTTTTTTGCTGGCTAGCTATAGCTGAGAGAAATCTCAACATCTAAAATCGAATCCAGTGTGTTCCTAACTACATGCAACTACATGTTATTATATCAAAATATAGCCTATAGGTGGCATAGGTTTAGTCGTTCTTTTATATTGTTATGCAGAAATGTTACATACGTTTAAAGAATCAGGACTAAAATATGTACACGATCAGGACATTGTACAGTTGTAAAATAAACTTAAGTGCTCTGGTGGATAAACTATTTAACTATATAAAATAAAATAAAAAACCGCAGTTTCTAAATGACCTCAAACAGGTTTTTGACATTTCGGTAGTGACATTTCTTGTTACTTATCAGCCAACAAACAGTAGCCAATACCTATATAATAACGCCTATATGCCAATACCAATATATATATGTAATAAGCTAATATTAGCTGCAAATACTATATAAATACTAATATAAATCTTCAGGCTATGCTAAGAATTTCGCTTGCCAAGTTACCAGCAGTGCGGCGACATGGCCTGCCTCTGTAGATCTTTAAAATCTGGTTTTGGAGTTCACCAACCCAGGATTACAAAAGGAAAAGTGCTCCTGTGAAAAATTAACTGGCACCACGATAAAAGGGAACCATTAATTGAGTTTTTGTATTAGTGTCACTCGGCTGGGATACATGTCTGCTGGCAAATTTGTTCAGACTCTCTTTACTTCCTCACTGCAGTTATCAAAGGAGCGAGAAACAAAAAAAAAAAAACGCGCAGCAATCTACTTGTGCCTCAGATGCCAAAAATACCAAACAGTTCCTCTGGGATGATAACAGCAAAGGACTCCAGAGACTCCAGAGGAGACAAAGGGGCCACTGAGAAAGAAGCTAAAACTCCACACACAGTTGATCTTAATGTTTATTATAAATGCAGGAAGATATAGTTAAATACAGCACGATTTATGCCTTAACAACTGTTGATTCGGCTGAAGCTGAAGCTGAAACCAAACCACACAACCACTGTTTTCTCTATTCCTTTTCAAATCCACATAGATCAGTGCGCAATATGAAGAATTAAGAGGTTATGTTTTTACATCTTTAAGTTTATTCAAGGGCAATACTGCACAAAAGCACAAGTTACGAGTGAACAACATAGACTAGAAACATGACTCAGCAAATCCAGACATCAGATTAACTTTCTTACGGTCTTATATAACAATATAATATAACAATTAAACTTTTCCCAGTCAGTCGATGCAGTTGTTTGTTGATCTAAATGAATGCACCAGTATTAAACAGTAGGAAACAACGAGACTCCAGTGGTTTAGATGAAGACCTTTCAGTTAGGATGCTGCACTTGGAACTTATCCACCAACCAACAACATAAATTAGACAAATAGCCTACTGAGAGCCATGCAAAATTAATTTCATATGTGTTTGTGATGGGAAAGGAGAATACTTGCCATCATTAAAACGGCATCTTTAATTTGTTTAAAACATACTGCGAACTTGCACTTTCCCTGGACAATATTCTGCAAAACCCCATGACTAGACCAAAACCAACATGTTAGCCTGTTTTTTGTAATGTATTTTTATTTCATAAAAAATTTATTTATTAGATATTTCTTATATGATCTGGAGCTGATGTTTAACTTTCTCTGCATACCTATTAGAAATCAATTCAAAATCGATGTATTTTTAACCCTTTTGAGAAACTATATGTGTAATTTAAATCTCTATATGTGATATGAACCATGTTTTTTGTCATTTAGTTTGAAGCTATTTGATTGGCTTTGGCACCTGTTGTTTGGAGTTCTGATTGGCTGACGGCCTCTCCATTGTTTTGTTACTCACTCTAATGGTATAACATGATTGTCTAATCACCATCAGATGTTTAACTAGGGTGTGGCCTATATAAGATTCCTGTGTCTTTGTCTTACTATGATTGTTGATTCTTGAAAAAGGCTGGAGTGCCAAAGTGTCATCAGCTAAATAAAAGACAAATGTGTACCAAGCAAGAGGTTGCAACACTTTTTTTCCTGCTCTCAAGCCTGTCACTTTTACCTTCTGACTGTCTGTGGCTCACAGCTCAAAGTCTACTGAAGAGGTAAATCTTTAAAAACAGGCCATGCAGCACTTTAATGACTTTAATAACTTTAAAACAGCACGGGCACAGTAGTTTTACACAAATATCACTCAAACAGGAGTAAATTGTGCATTTGTTGGGGACTAATATTTCATATTATATTCAAAACTGTACAGTGAACTCAAATAGTGAACAACAACTGCAAGAAGTTTGTGTAAAAGGAGTGATTTGGATGAATTTTTAGGGAAATTTTTATACACTTCTCTGTGTGTATTATGTATTTTTTAACACTTGACAAATGCTGAGATATACGCCTACTGTGTATATTTTAAAGGTTTCTTATACGTCTTAAAAACAAGAAGGCCTTGTGACCCCCCATGAAGCTTT